TGCGCCTTCACCCAGCTCCCCTTCGAGGAGGGCGCCGCCCCGGAGGGCGCGTCCCCTCAGAGCGAGGAGGCGCAGCTCGATCTGTACGCCCACCAGGAGGATGCCCTCGAGCAGCTCAACACAGGGTGGAGCGGGCTGGGCATCCTGCAGATGCCGTGCGGCACGGGGAAGACGGTGGTGTTCGCGACGCACGCCCGGGAGTACGCCAGGGTCATCGTCATCTCGCCGCTCAAGGCGCACGCGAAGCAGACGTACGATCGCATGACCGGGTTCCTGCGTGAGCACGTGGGGCTGCTGGTGGACTCGGAGGGGTCGCGCGACAAGGGCAAGGTCCAGGCGCACCTCCAGGACGGGGGTTGCTTCGTGTCGGCGACGTACAAGTCCTGCGACGTCCTGTCTCAGTGCGACTTCTCGAAGGGGGCGGGCACCTTACTCATCGTCGACGAGGCCCACAACCTCGGGGAGTCGGACGTCGCGACCGCGTTCGCCGCCTCCTTCGAGCGGTGCCTCCTCGTGTCGGCCACGCCGCCCGCCTCCCTCACAGTGCGCGGGGACGTGGTGCAACCCCCCACCCTGTACCACTTTCCGCTGCGGGAGGCGATCCAGGCGGGGTACGTCGTGGACTACGAGGTCATCCTGCCGTGCGTCACCGACGGCGAGACCACGGAGCTGATCGAGCTGAAGGACCTTGACGAGTACTTCACGCCCCGCGTCGAGTTCCTGGCGTGCGGCATGCTGCGGCTGGGGAGCAGGAAGTGCATATGCTTCCTGCCGTCGGTCAAGAAATGCGAGATCTTCCTGGAGAAGTGCCGCGAGGTGTTCAAGACGTTCCACGGGTGCGACTTCTACGGAGGGCTGGTCACGAGAGACACGGCGGCCAAGAAGCGGGAGGAGATCATCGCGCAGTTCCAGGAGTTCGACTCGAGCGACCGCCCTGGGATCGCGATCATCGCGTCGGTGCACATCCTGGACGAGGGGATCGACGTCCCGGAGTGCGACTCCGTGTTCTTCGCCGAGGTGCCCGCCAACAGCACGGACACGGGGCAGCGCAGGACCGTGCAGAGGCTCTGCCGCGCAGTCCGGAGGTCGAGACGCACGACGGAGAAGACGGCCAGGGCCTTCGTGTGGGCGGAGTCCGACGACCAGATCCCCAACTTCCTGTCGCTGCTGAAGGAGAGCGACCCCGAGTTCCTCCCCAAAAGGGTTCGCAAGCTCGCGCGGCGGTACGACGCGTCGACGGAGGCCCGGGCGACGGAGCACGCGCAGACGGCGGAGCTGTCGAAGCACACGGAGGAGCTCGGGAGGTACAAGGTGTCCATCCTGGCGGAGGCGACCGTGCAGGACAAGGTGACGCTGCTGTCGAAGCTGACGGAGAAGCCGAAGAACAAGAGGCAGGTCTACGTCCTCGAGGACGGCAGCGCGGTGATCAACCTCGGCAAGTACCTCTGCGACATCGCCGGGAACTGGGTCCGGGGGATCCGCGTGCGATCGAAGCTGGAGCCGGAGCAGAAGCAGCGCGTGGAGGGCGCGCCGTGGTTCGACAAGTGGCTGCAGAAACGCATCGCGGACCAGAAGAGCAAGAGCGGGTCATACAAGCTGACCGTGAAGGACAAGGTGGCGCTGCTGTCGAAGCTGACGGAGAGGCCGAAGACGGCGAGGGGGGCGAAGGAGGTCTACGCCCTCGAGGGCGGCACCGTGGTGGAGGCGAACCTGACCGACTTCCTGTGCGACATCGCCGGGAACTGGGTCCGGGGGATCCGCGTGCGATCGAAGCTGGAGCCGGAGCAGAAGCAGCTCGTCGAGGGCGCGCCGTGGTTCGCGGAGTGGCTGCAGAAACGCATCGCGGACCAGAAGAGCAAGAGCGGGACACGCGAGGCGACCGTGCCGGACAAGGTGCTGCTGCTGTCGAAGCTGACGGAGAGGCCGAAGAAGAAGAAGCAGGTCCACCTCCTCGACGGCACCGAGGTGGAGGCGAACCTGGGCGCGTTCCTCGGCGCCATCGCCGGGCACTTTGTCCCGGAGCGCCGCGCCAAAACGAGGCTGGAGCCGGAGCAGAAGCAGCTCGTCGAGGGCGCGCCGTGGTTCGCGGAGTGGCTGGAGGAGCAGGAGAGCAAGATGGAGTCATACAAGCCCACCAAGCAGGACAGGGTGGCGCTGCTGTCGCAGCTGGCGGAGAAGCCGAAGAGGGGTGACCAGGTCTACGTCCTCGACGACGGCACCGAGGTGGAGCTGGACCTGGACAGGTTCCTGCGCCGCATCGCCTGGAACTGGGTCCCGGGGCGCCGCGCCGAAACGAAGCTGACGGCGGCGCAGAAGGAGCTCGTGGCAGGCGCGCCGTGGTTCGAGGAGTGGCTGCAAAGCAGGAACTGATGCGGGACTGGCTCTCTCTGGAGACCAGGCTCACACCAGAACAGCACTTCAAGCTGTCTCTGTCTGCTGTCTTGCTGCCACTCGTCCAGAGGCAGCCCTATCTAGGCTGTGAGCTCCACGCTGCACTGGTCTATCTAGTCAGTCCAATGTCTGACAGGCATCAGGAACGTCCGGCGGTGAACATCCCATGTCGAAAACGGCCGGGAACCGGGTGTCACCAACGGCTGTGCGGGACCCACTCGATTTCCCCGGCTGCCCCCCCGACATGTCCGGGTCCCGCCGCCCAGACGTAGTGTGCACCGTTCCCGGGCGGTGCGCACCACTCTCCCACATCCCACCGCGACCAGCCGGCCGCGAAGAGTGAGTTACAGTCACCTCGCCAGTCCTTACTGTGACTCGACTTGTTCACACCCCGAAGAACGGGTCACACCGCCAAGGCAGGTTCCACTCCACCCTATAACGGCACCAGTTTATCAGACACACGCCATGGGACCAGGTGCCCTGCCGATGGCACAAAGGGAAGTGGCAGACAGCCCGCGCAGGGGGGCGGCGGACGCAGCGAGGGCCGCCGCGGGGAAACGTGGGGGCGGGCGTGCCGATGGCCGACATGCGAGCAGTGTTTAAAGTTTACAGGCACTTGACAGCCTGGGGCTAGAGCTCCGCAGCACGCGCGGTCTCGGCGCCGCAGCAACGAGATGCGCGCGCACCGCTGAGCTCTGAGCAGGGTTCGGCCACGGGCACACCTCACCGCATTAGCACGCGTGACAGGGCATTGTGAGGGCATGACGTGATTCATTCTCTGTCACCAGTCGAAGCGGGGGGGGCACGGATCGCTGGAAATACCGCTCGGACCTGGTCGACAGCACGGACATGCACTTCGGCCGGCAGCTACGCCGCACAGAGCCGAGCGCGCCCCGCAGGCGCCGCACGTGACGTGCAGCTTCATCTCGCGGCTGCGACTCCGGGCCCGCGAGGGCGCACGGAGGAAGACTTGAGTCGGCAGCCCGGGGCTCGGCGTGAGCCGCGGCGCGACAGGATGCCGGGTTCCGCGTGGGAGCGTGCCGGCGCTCGCAGCTCCGTGATCTCCATGTCTTCGTGGCGCTCGCGCGTGCTTCTGCGGCCATCTCCTGCTTGCGGGCGTTCGCGAGCACGCCGGGCCGCTCACGGTGGTCAGCGGGTCGAGGTCGAGCTCCTGTCCAAGCCGTGCGTCGCGCAGAAGACCGAGGTGCGAGTGTTGACGATGTCGATGACCGCGCGAAGTCCACTGTTGCCCTCCTGGCAGACGACGACGCGAGCGTCGAGGACAGCCGAGTGTCAGCCGGGCCCAGGCGGGGGTGCGCGGCCCCTCGGTCCGCCTGGGTCGGCTGACAGCGAGCCGGGGGTGTCACCAAGTGTCTCCCCAGGGGCCGTCTCGCGTAGGCCACGCCAGCCGGCTGTACCTGGGCCCACGCGCGGTGGCAGGGACCAGTCTGCTGCACGACACGCGGCGGTACGCTCGTGCTGGCGCGCGAGGCCCAGGTGTCGCCCGCGCGCGGCGACCAGTGCGCGGGGGCGCCAGATTGCTGGGGCTGTCCCGTGCGGCACCGGCCAACCTCCGGTGCCCTCGCGTCGTCGTCGTGCACAGGAGCGCTACCGTGTAGGACCTCCGTCGAGGACGAGTAGTCCGGGACCGTCCAGCCGTGCGGCTGGTCGGTTGCAGTCCTGCAGTCTCTGGCTCCAGCGGCAGCGACCGATCTACGTGCGTTGTTGATGGACGGGGTGTGCGGGGAGGTCATCAGCAAATCAGGTGTGGGGTGCGGGTGCGCGAATCCCCGGTGATCATCGCGGCACCGGCCCGGGCGCGCTGGAGGAGGCGCGCCCAGCCATTGCGGCCGGTGCGTCGCCGCAGGGGGGGGCCTGGGGGGACGTGGGTAGCCAGCCAACAGGTACGGTCGTGGAGGCCCCGAATCACTCGTCCGCGCCGGGGGTGGGGTCGAGGAGGTCCGCTCCGGGGTGGAACGCTGCAGCCATCTTGTTGAGCCGATAGAGGACGCGGTGAAAGACGGGTCCGCCGTCGAGAAACAGCAGGCGGACCGCCGCGTCTCGCCCATCTTCACCGCCCGCCGCCGCGCGTTGCTGCAGGCCGTCGATGAGCTCCCGGGCCTGCTGGTTGAAGTGCTTCGCCGTTGACGACTCCGTGCTGTTCGCCCACGTGCGACCCCACGGCTGGGCGGGCGGCAGGTCGGCCAGCGGCGCGCGGGCCTGGACGATGTCCGCGGACGTGCACTCGGTGAGCAGGTGCACGACATCCCCGATCGCCGTCGTGTCGCCTGTGACATCGCCGCAGAACCTGCACGTGCGTTGCGACAACGGCTCATGCGCCCACGCGCCCCGGTTGGCACGCAGGTGCGAGGTGCCAAGGCGGACCTGCGACACGCACTGGAGGACGCGGGTGGTCGAGTGAAGGGCACGCAGGTGCGGCGCGCAGCGCATGTACGGTGGGATGTGCAGGGCAACAGTTTCGGGCGTTGCATGACGGAACCAGACCCTGTCCGGGACCTGCAGGTAGTGCATGCGGTAGGCCGCGGCAAACTGGCCGCCAGTCGGCTGCGCGGTGCGCGGGTGCGTGTCGGGCAGACCGAGTTGCACCGATGCCTGCATCGACACGGTCGTGCTCGAACTCCTACCCGGCCTCGAGTCTACAGCATCTGGCGCTGTGTCCTGGCCGTGACGGGTGCAGCGCAATGCCTTGTGCCTACTCGGCGGACACGATCCCAGCAGGCCGCCGCAACAAGTGCATCCCGAACGGAGCGCTGTTCACGTGCGAGTGTGCGAGGGACGGGAACGGCAACGCGCTGTACACGGGATCGCGCTGCGAGTCGATCGTGACGCCCGAGTGCCCTGCGCCGGGGAAGATGTACGTGGTGGACGGCGTCGACAGGTGTTGTCCGTCCGGGGTGTACACGTCGAAACTGGAGTGCTGCCCGTTCGCTGACATGGTGGAGGATGCGAACGGGGCGTGCTGCTTCAGGGACGCACGGACTGCGCGCGGACGCGGGGACGTGTTGGACGGGTGCAACGTGTGCGGCGGCAAGGGCAAGGGGCGTATGAGGGGGGAATGCTGCGAGGGCAAGGCTGACAAGCACGGCAAGTGCTGCCCGCCGAACAACCCCTTCACGGGACTGAAGCAAGAGGTGGACGAGTGCGGGAACTGTGGAGGCGGCAACCGGGGGTGCGACTTTGAGGCCACAGTGGCGTTTGACGTTCCCCCGTCGAACAGGAACCATCCGGAGCTGAATAGCAGCATCGCTACGTGGGTGTCGGAGTCGACGGGCGCAGGGGAGCACCGCGTAAGCGTGACAGGCCGCGCGTCAGGGCCCGGGAACAGCTTTGACATCGGCGTGACCATTGGAGGCGTCCAGAGGGACGGGGACGCGGCGATGGGCCAGGGCCGCATTGCAGGATCGATCGGTGCGTCGGTCGCCCGCGGGAAGGAGCTCAAGTCCAAGGGGCAAGTGTCTCGCGCGTCGCGTGCGTTGATGCAGACCTTCCTGGGAACGGGTTCGGGTATGCAAGCCGTCGACACGCTCGCCGTGTGCGGCAACGGCCAGTGCGAGGGATCCCTTGAGACCATTGTAGTTGGCCCGAATGGAGTGACGGCGGGCTGCACAACCATCGGGCCGTCCGGTGCGACCGACTGCGCGACGCCCATCTACACCTGCAAGGCGCCGGACTGGGCCCCGACGGTGGCGTGCGGCGGTGTCGGAGCATGCGATGCAGACGATGCCTCTCTGCCCGTTCTGCAGCAGACGTCGACCTGCCAGTGCGACACGGGATATGCCGGGGAGGCGTGTCAGGTCTGCGACACAGGTTACGCCGAGGCGGAGGGCAGCCGCGCGGCAGGGTCGCTGCGGTGCCTGCAGCTCACGGTGTCGGCGTCCCGGGCGGTCCCACCGACCAACCCGCCAGCAGCAGCAGCGACCTTTGGACCAGTAGCTACGCAAGGGCCCGTGGCAACGCAAGTGAGCAGTGCGACGCAGGCTCCAGCGGCTAGCGCACAGCAGCCAACGACCGAGACGGCGGCACCAGGCGCATCTGGCGACTCAGAGGCCGCGGCGTCGCCCACGGCAGGACCGGACACGATGCTGCCCACTGGCGATAATGTTGGCAGCGCTTCGGTTGGGTCAGATTCGGGCTCTTCCTCGTCCGGGTTCAGCCCAGCCCTGAGCGCGGGCGCGGCTGGAGGCGCGATGCTGATTGTCGCAGTCGTTGGGGCGGCTTTGGTAGTGAAGGTGGTGAAGTGGAGGCGTTCAGTGACAGAAGTGGCGCCGAGCGACAACCCTGCCCTCCGAGCACCGCCTTCGTCGCCGGGGCCGATGAATCTGATAGGCCGCCCAGCAACCAGAGCTCGTACCACGGTCGAGGACATGCTGGAGCCTGTCGAGGAAACGATGGAGCCTGCCGAGGAAACGATGCCTGTCGAACCTGCACAGAGGTCGGGCACCCGGGCTCTTGCCTCCCGGCCCGGCATGTTCGTACCGCCCATCATCAGGGTTTCTGTCGCGCCGATCACCTGATCGGCCTTCGTCCTATGTTGGCGCGTTGAAGGAATCACCACGAAACCATTGCTTCTTGCGAACACTGTCATGCCTAGGCTCCGACGCTGCGGAGCCCAGTTCCCTGTGACTTCGAAGGCAAACCATTTCGCGGGGTCCTTCCCTGCAAGGTACCCAAAGTCATGACGACGACGTCCTCTCTCAGACTGAAAAGCTCAGACATCGCGGACGCTCTCGCGCGTGCTGCCGAGCGGACAGCGGGGACTGGCGCTTCCGGGCGACGTGTTTCATCTGGTGCCCTCGCCGCGACTTCTGCAGGTACCTCGAGGGGCTTCTGTGCCTCGTGTGAAAATTACCGCCGTCATGTCCTGGGCTCTGTGCGGTGGTCGGTAGAATCGTGGCAATCGCATGTGCAATCATTTTCGTCGTTCTGGCAGCAAGGTGAGAGACGTTACTAGTAGAGCAAAGCAGAAGTAATGAATATGTAAGCACGCCGAGCCCCGCAGATGATGCAGAGCCCGTGCGATAAGCCAGTAGAGTTACAGTTAGGGCGGTCACGCCCCCGGCACGAGCCCGCAGCTCGGCCACCAAGGCCTGACAGCAGTGACCTGACTACGCGTCATACTGTTGCCGAATAATTGCAACTGCCAGGACGGCAACAGCGTCCAGACATGGCCGTTCGTCAAGGATGACAGTTCAGGCCACGGGCCGAGTTCAAACACGCAATCGTTTCAGACGGCGCTTCGGGAGGTACGCGGTGTAGAGATGACTTTGCGTCATGCCCGGTCTGTCACTTCCGCATGTCGCAGTGGGGCTGCTGCAAACTCTAGTGCCACTAGGTCGGACCGGACGACGGGTGCCTCTTTGAGGGGGGTCCGGGCGGGCTGATTCTGGCCGCTGAGTCGGACTCAGTCCGGCGGACTCGGAGTCACTCCGCCGCTTCGAGCAAGACGGGTCATTGAATGAGTCGGGATCTCGTCTGCACCACTCCGCAGGCCGACGCGCTCCCCGTCCTCGCCGCGAAGGAGGGGGCGTCACGCCGGACCGGCCGCACCGTGCATTGCAGCGAAAGCTCGCCGCGTTCCCAACCTCGAGGAAACCTTTTCGTACGGACAGAGTGCGCGCGTCTTCTGCAGCCTGCCGTGCGCGCTGCCCCTGTCGTCGCTTGTGCGGCAAGCGTGGATGCTGGAGGGCCGAAAGCACAGCGTGCACAGCATCGGCCTAGCAGAGGGTCGAACAGGACGTCGCGGACCGCAATTTGCAGCCATCGACACGGTTGTGCAAGTGAGATGCGGATGTCGTCAGAATGACGAACGAAGAGGGCCAGAGATGGCCCGTGTGCGGGCACACGGTGGCCTTTCCAACTCAACCGTACGGCGTCCAGCTGTCGCTGATGAGCACGATGCTTCGGGCCCTCGATAGTCAACAAAACGCCCTACTCAGCGCACCGACGGGGTGTGGGAAGACGCTGGTGCGCGCCATCGCCGAGGGTTGCTTGGTGGAGGTCGCCGGGACGAACCAGCTCGCGCTGTTTCACGGACCACCTATGTGCATGCCAGCGGCCGCACGCGTGCAGCGTGCAGCTTGTGGCACATCAGGCCGACGTGGCGCCGGTCACAGCGCCCGCTAGGCCGCGACGTCCGCGGCTTCCCTTGCAAACCATGCAGGCACTGCTGTCAGCGGCCCTGTCGTGGCAGGGTCAGGCTGCGAACGCGAAGAGCCGCTCGGTTGGGCCGGCAGAGGCAGGCGCGGGCGCTCCGAGCACCAGGAGGCAGAGGGTGTTCTATGCATCGCGCACGCATGGGCAGGTGTCGCAGGTCGTGGCCGAGCTCAAGCGGCTGGAGCACACGCCGCGGATGGCAGTGCTCGCCTCACGGGCGCAGTACTGCGTGCACCCCGACGTGAGGGAGTCGCCTTCGCGGGACGCGGACTGCGACCAGCTGTGCAAGCAGGACGCGTGCTCGTTTGCGCAGGGCAAGAAGGGCCTGATCGAGCTCATGACCGGCACGCTGCACGACGTGGAGGAGCTGGCGGGCGTGGGCGAGCTCACCGGCGGGTGCCCCTACTTCGCCGCGCGGTCCATGGCGGAGGACGCGGAGGTGGTGCTGTGTCCGTACCAGTACCTGATCGATCCGCTGGTGCGGGGGGCGATGAACGTGGACCTGGAGGGCGCGGTGGTGATCGTGGACGAGGCGCACAACATCGAGAACGCGTGCATGGAGGCCGCCAGCGTCGAGGTGCCGCTGGAGGACCTCGACAACGCCGCCGTGCGCCTCGAGGAGGAGGCGTCGTTCGCCAACCCCTTCCTCTACCAGCCGCTCAGTGAAGCGTTCCGGAAGCTGCACGTCTGGGCCCAGCGTGTGTGGAGCACGCTGTCGAGGGACGGGACCCCGCACATCACGTGGACGGGCCCCGAGTGCATCGGCACGTTTGAGAATCTGGGCATCACGGCAGGTCCGCGCGCACGCACCGGGACGCAGACGCAACCGCCGTGCTGCCCGTCGTCGTCACGCAGCGCTTTTCGGGCGTTTGTCACTTGCAGATGCGACGGCACAGCTCCTGGGGCACATTGAGCAAATCAAGGAGAAGCTCCGGGAAGAGGCGGACGCCGCGCAAGAGGTCGGCATGCACGGGCGGGGCCGCCGTGGCCGCCGCCCTTCGTCTCGGGCACGGGGCGCGGGCGGCTCGCAGGGCAAGGCTGAAGGGATCAAGTCGGTGCTGCCGATGTGCGAGCGCCTCCTCACCTGCCTCCAGATGGCGTTCGACTCCCCCGAAGGAGAAAGCAACCTGCGGCACTTCACGTTCGCGATCTTCGGGAAGAGTAGCGAGGAGTTCCGCGGGGCAGGCCGCCGAGGTGAGATGAGGACATGTCACATGCAGTGCATGTTATATGATGGATCGCAGGCGCAGAGCTGCCACGTGTGCAATCGCCTGCAGGATACCAGCGCTACGACATTCCTTGTTTCGCGCTTTGGTGCAACTGGGGCGGCGTTGCGTTCCGGCAAGTGCACCAACCTGCTCACAGTGTGCTCCTGGCATCTGGCACTCTGGCCCCGATGGAGGGATTCGAGACAGGTGCGGCACCCAAAGTTTGGCGTTGCAGGTCCAGTGCCTGCGCTCGTCGTGCAATGGAAAGCCATCGAACGCGTCTACCGCGTGCAGAGTTGGGGTGCAAGTTCCCACATCGCATCGACACACCTCACGTCGTGCCGCGCGACCAAGTCTACGCATCGGTGATTCCTGCGCACAATGGACACGACATCGTCGCCACGTACAAAAACGTCGGAACGGTCGCTTTCAAGGACGTCATCGGCGACCTACTGAAACAAGTGGTTTCGTCGTGCAAGTCCGGCGGCGTGATCGTGTTCGTCGCCTCCTACGGGATGCTGGCGCAACTACGCGAGCGCTGGGCGGCGACGGGCTTGCTGGCCGACGTTGAGTCCCTGGCACCTTGCTTCATGGAGCAGCGGGGCCAAATGGACGATGTCATCGGCCTGTACAGGAAGCACGCCAACAGCAGCAGGGCGGTCCTCATTGCCGTCGCGAGAGGAAAGGCATCAGAAGGCATCGATTTCCGAGGTCCGCGGGCCGGGGCACCGCAGTGGTATTAAGTTTTGCTCAACAACAGCCGATGCGACCTTGCCAAATGTCAACTCACGCTCTCGAATTTCCGCGCAGATGCCGAGTGTCGGGTGTGCATGTGCGTCGGTCTGCCCTTTCCGTCGATCACGGACCCGAAGGTCAAGTCCAAGGTGGCCCACAACGACGCACAGGCGCCGCTGGGCCAGAAGGGCAGCTGGTACACGCACCAGGCTTTCCGAGCGATGAACCAAGCAGCTGGTGAGGCACAACGTGGCCCTGCGGTGCATGTTGTAGCGCCTTGCTTCCCCCTTTGCGTCGCCAATGTGCCACATGTCGAAATCGTCGCAGGCCGATGCATCCGGCACCGGAAGGACTACGGGGCTCTGATTCTCGTCGATTCGCGCTTTCAGAGGCCGCAAAATGTGGCCATGCTCCCGCGCTGGGTACAGAGCTGCTTGAAGCAGTCGTACTCGAGCAGCGAGGTGCTACCAGAGCTGGAGGACTTCCTCGCTACCGTCCCTTCACTTGTCGGCGCGGGGGAGACGACCGCCTGCTGCGGGCAGCGCCTGGCCAGCGGCGGTGAACCTGGGGCAGGTGGCCCCAAGCCGAACCAGCAGCTTGTCGGCAGGTCTAGGCCGGAGATTCAGGCCGACGTCGACGTGCTGTGTTCGTACATTTGCGAAGAACTCGAGTGGGAGGCGCAGCATATCACTGGGCAATGAATCCGCGCAGCGCCCCCCCCCCTGCTGTCGCGAGAGTCAACACAATTTGCTTGAATTATATCCAACCCGAAATACCGGTGCCCCGAACAGCCGCGCCCGTCACTTCAAGGAGCAGCGCACCTTGCTCACGCTCGTCAGCATCCACATTTCGAGGTCCACGTCGAAAGGGGTGCGCAAGGGGGCTTGGTGCACAAGGGGTTGCGGCATGACATCGCCTGGGCACAGTGCTGCGCTCGACGTGGGCGCTGTAACTTGCTGACACGTTGCCTGCTTCGCGCCAGCAGCTTATCGTTGATCAGCCGATGGGCGATGGCGGAGAGTCGCCTGACACAAGGTCGTGTCGGGCTTTGGGTGCGTCCGGGACAGTCCCCCCGGGCCGGCACCGTGCGCCCCTTGAGTGCATGCCGAGCGCCAATCAGACGCCACTCGCCCCTGACATCGTGCAGCGCGTTCACGAGCACGATCTCTCCTCGATTCGCGAGAATGCCACGCAGTCAGGAATCTGGGAATTGCGAGGCCACCGCGGACCACTGCATCCAGGCTTTTGATGCGCTGAGCTGCAGTTTTACCGGAGAGCCTGTGCCAGCACCAAGATTTCCTCAGGCCGACGCGCCGCTGTTCGTGACATGGAACAAACGGAAATCCAGGTATGTGCCCGCGAGGCCGCCGTCGTCTTGGGCCTGTTGCGAAGCAAGGCCATGCCCGGCGGCGATGTTCGTGTCGGAGAGGACGGCCGCAGCGAAGCCAGCGTCCCACCTTGTGCGCACGGCGAGGCAGACGGCCCTGACCTTCCCCCTGGCTTCCCGCGCCCTCCGCCCCTCACCACGCAGGACTGGCGAGTACCACCTCCGGGGCTGCATCGGCTCTCTGCACTCTCGACCACTGAATACTGGTGTCGCTGATTTCGCCTTGGCGTCGGCAAGGTGCGGCGAAAAGGCTTTGTGCATGCTCCACTCTCTGACCCGCGCTCGCTTGCGCTGCGCACATTGTCTGCCGTGCTTTGCGCGCACGCGGTGGCGACCTCACGCTTGTACGTGCCCCCTGGCGCTGTGTCGACCGTGGGCAATCGACACGGCGAGCAGAGGGCGCCGTGAGGAAGCTTGCGTGCACAGAGCGCGCTTGTTTCTCCGTCCGGTTCCCGCAGGGACAGGAGGTTCAAGCCGATCACCTACAACGAGCTGGAAAGCCTGAGCTGTTCCGTCAGCTTGCTGCATTCGTTCGAGGAATGCGCTGCGTGGGATGACTGGGTCGTGGGGCGACATGGCATCATCATCCGCTTCACCGCGGGCCACGGCGAGTTCTCTGCAACGTTCCTGCCAGGAGTTGCAGGTGAGCACGGCATATCGCCGCCCGCCTCCCGGCACGTGCCCCCCCGGAAACGTCTGCGCACCTCGACCACGGAGTTGCTGTGTGCCTTGCAGCGGAGCAAGGATGGTCCATAAAGGAAACGATCGAACACTTGATCCGCAAGGCCGGGTACCAAGGGCACATCTCCAGCTCGTTGCTGTCGAACATGCGTGTCACAAGGTGGGTGGCACGCAGCAGCTCCGTGCTCGTACGGTGTCCTTTGTGTTTCAAACATCGAGCTCATTGACGCCGCGGCAACTCGACTCCGCGCAGGTACCAGAGCAGCAGCCACTCGATGACACACAAGGAGTGGCTGTCAAGCAAGGACGAGGACGACAGCGTGCCTAGTGCACACACGCTGTCCACGGCCTCCATGACGCCCCCCTAGCAACGTGATGTCCGCAGGCGGCCACGTGTGACGCGGCCTCATCTCCCGCGCCCGCGTCCCCTGCCGCGCCCCCTGAACGCACCCCCGCGCCCGGCAGCCCCTCGGCCGCGCCCCATGGTGAACTCCCCGCGCCCACCGCCACCCCAGCGGCCTCCACCGCCACGACCACCAGCCAAGGGGCTGCCAAACACGCCCAGCTCCTCTCTCTGCACGTGCGAGCGTTTTCAGGGGGTTGAAGCGCTCGCGCAACGCGGATGCGATGCGTAGGCACTTTTGGCATTGCAGCGTTGCTGCGAGGCGCTCGCTTCGCACCTGCTTCAGTTCCGGGAGCGCCTGAGGCAGGAAAAGGGGAGCGTCCTCTCCGGTCGCCCCTTGGTTGACTTCTGACATGAGGTCCGCAAGCAACTCTGCAGCAAGTGCGCGGTGCAGAAATGTTGGCGACATGTACCCGCAACAGCGTCGCGCGGCTGACGGAGCTCAGGAGGACGTGGTGCTCAAGTCAGCCGGTCCAAGCCGCACTCACCGACGGGAACGTCGAACACGGCCCCCGTGCCATCTTTCGTGAGCATCATCCGCTTGATTTGCGAGCACATCTTTTCCCCGAACTCCTCGCCGAGACGCCTTCGCAAGAACCCAAAGCATGCACCAGGGCGCTCCATCACGAATTTCGATCGGAACTGCGATGGGGAGGGAGGGACATGGTCGATTGTCGCGCCAACCATGATTCGTGACGGCTGCAGAGATGAGACAGGTGTTGTGGGCGGCCCAACCTGCACCGTCGTATATTCGTCCGCCGAGGTGAGCAGGGACCTGCGCTTCATCGCCGTGTGTCCGGTGATTTTCGCGAGAGCCAGTGCCAGCACTTCGGCGGGCTCCATACTCAGGTCAGAGAGCAGCCGCTCCGCAGCACCCTGCAGCCAGGCACGGCGGAGGTCTCATGCATGGTCAGCAGCGAGCAGGGCACGAGTTGCACGTCGCGTCGCTTCTGTGTCGCGTCGGACCTTGAACATTGGGATCAGCTCCTTGTCGACGGCCTCGATTGCCTCCACGGAGCGCTGCGCCGCGATCTGGGCCATGTCTTCGGGCTGTGGGGCGCCAATTCTTTCGAACTTGAGACCAGCGCGCTTCTCGATTCGCACCACGTTCTCCTCGCGCGACCGTGTCACCAGCGTGATCGATATGCCTGCGTGGCACGTGGGCGTGTCGCTCGCGGTGTGCGGGGACGGGAGACGCAAGAACGCCACCTCCGAGCTCCACAATGGCCCTCGCATTCGCACACCTGTGGAGTTCGCGCGGCCCGTGCGCCCACTCCTGTGGATGTAGGTTTCGTGGTCCTTCGGGGGGGCTGTCTGGACGACCAGCTCCACGCCGGTGATGTCGAGGCCCCTCGCAGCCACATCAGTGGCGACCAGCACCGAGAACACTCCTGCAAGTTGGCGCGGCGCGCAGAACACGTCACTTCAGAGCACTACGGATGCAGCCACGGCATTCCTTGCAGGCGACACACATCGCAAGCAGCGTACCGGACTTGAACCCTTTCAGTGTCGCTTCTCTCTGCGCTTGGGCGATGTCGCCGTGCAGAGCTCGGGCCCCGACAGTCTCGCTCAGCTGCTGGGCGAGGTCGTTGGCGTCGTTCTTCGTGTCCGTGAAGACGATGGTCCGACCCTGACAGCCGTAACACCGCACCTGCATGGCGAGAGCGCCCGTCGGGACACCACGATTGGCTTCCGTGGCGTTCGCGGCGTCGTGATCAGCAGCAGGAACCTCAAAGCGAGAGGGTTCGCCGTACTGCCTGCCTGGGACAGCACTCACCAGGTCCGTGACCAGCGACGGCGTCTGCGTGCGCAGGCACGGCAGCAGCAGGTGCCGCACGGACGTCGAGGCCTTCATCTTCTGGTCTCCGACCAGGTCGACGTACTCCTGGTTCCCCGCTTGCAAGTACTTCTGCGCCCATCCACGCACGCAACGCAAGGAGGTCGAAGCCCGCGCGCACAGGGCCCGCACGCAGCCCGCAGCGTCGTTCGTCGGGCACGGCGCGCGCGGCCCACCTTGGACATCTCCTTGACCCAGCTGGGCATGGTTGCAGAGAACAGCATGGTCTGCACGCTGGTGGCGGCGTCGACGGACTGGTGCGCCAGGATGTACTCGACGTCTTCGGCGAAGCCCATGTTGAGCATCTCGTCGCACTCGTCCAGCACGCGGAAGCGCAGCTTGTCCAGCACCAGGGACCCCCGGTCCAGGTGGTCCTTCACGCGCCCCGGCGTGCCCACGACCACGTCCACGCCCCGCCGCAGCGCGGACTCCTGCGGCGAGATGGGCGCCCCGCCGTAGATGCACAGCGTGGCCAGGTTCGCCGCCCGCCCCATGATGTTGAAGTCCTCGTGCACCTGCTTCGCCAGCTCCCGCGTCGGGGCCAGCACGATCACCGCCGGGTGCCGGCCGTACGCCTTCTTCGCGCCCGTCTCCCCCTTGTCGATGAACTGCTGGATGATCGGCAGCGTGAACGCCAGCGTCTTGCCGCAGCCCGTGCGCGCCCGGCCCACCAGGTCCTTGCCCTCGAGGGCGGGCGGCAGCGCCAGCGCCTGGATAGGGAACAGACTCTGGATGCCGCGGTCGTTGAGGAGGCGCTTCAGGCTGTCGTCGAGGGGGAAGTTGTCCAGCGCGTACTTGTCCGCACCGGCCGCCGGCGGCGGCGGCGACCCATCTGCGGTGAAATAGACGATTGCAACGCGAATGTCGCGTTCGGTGCAGGTCGAGCGCCGCGTTGCAACACCGAGCGGCCCGCACTTGTCTCGAGGAATGGCACGCGCGGTCGAACGTGGCATGAACTTGTGCCTGAAAGGGCGTCGAGCACCTCCCAAGGGGCGCCGGCCATCGACGTGCGCCCGGGTCGCTCATGGCTGGGTATGTAGGCAGGACACCATCGTGTCGGACCGCCTCGGTCCTAAGGCGATGGAGGCGTGCAAGGCGGCCCACCTTTGTCCGGTTGCGCGCGTCCGGTGGCTCGACGTTTGTTACTGACCGTCTCCGCGGCAGGTTCCTGTTCCAGGGATCGCTTCTTTTTCTCTGTGCTTGATTTCTTCTCCTTCTTCTCCTTCTTCTCCTTCTTCTCCTTCTTCTCCTGCACGACGAAGCCGCGTGAGGAAGGTTGACGGCGGCAGTCCAGGGTTGCAGCCGCCTCGCGGCGGCGCGTGACACGTCCAATGCGCGTAGATGGGCGCCGCATCATGCCTTTTTCGGGGTGTCGCTCCGAGCTTCGCGTGAGGTTGCCATCGGACGCTCTGAACGGGGCGGGAAGCCCTGGAGCTTGCAGGTTCGCTGTCGTGCCCTCGCAGCGGTCGCAACAAAACACAGCTCAGCCGGAACAGGTTGACTCGCGCTGCCGGGCCGCGCCGCGCCAATGTATTCAGGAGCGGCCGTGAACAGTTCTGGCTGTCAGACACGACATTCGTCAGACATGACGTCACACGGGGGTTCTCAGCAGCCCTGGTGAGCTTCGAGACGGGATGACTCCGCCAGGCTGTACTTACCCCCCTGGTGCGCACCGCGCGGCGTTTCATGCAAGCGTTCTTGCATCTGGAGGGGGCCGCAGCTCCGCCTTGCTCGAGGCCGCAGTGTGCCGCCGCGGAGCAGCGTGGTCTGCGTACGCTCACGCAAGAAGGCGACGCATTTTCTCGACCACGTCCTCCTCGTCAATGGACCTGACTGCCTCCTCCAACGCGGTGCGGCCGTTTTTGTTGGTCACGTCAGTGCGTGCTCCGCGCTCGAGCAAGATGCGGACCACGTCGACAGCACCACCGCGTGCGGCCGTATGCAACGGGGTTTCGCCGTCATCGTCTGCGCTGTTGACACACGCCGCGGCCGCTTCTGGAGACATTGCACCCAAAAGAAGTTGCACGATCGTCTCATGGCCGCCAGCCGCCGAGTCGTGCAAGGGTGTCGAGCCAGAGCCGTCGCGCACATCCGGCGTCGCGCCTGCCTCGAGCAGGACGTCCACAATCTGCGCCCAACGGGAGCCTGAGCCATGGGAGCAGGGAAAAAGCAATCGTTTCAGATGTTGACTGAACAGACCAGCCGCCGTCAGCGCGGCGTTCGGTCCCCGCACCTCCTTGTTCCCGTATAGGCACGCCATGTGCAGCATCGTGTCGCCATCTTCATCCCCAGGCGTATCGACCCCGATTGACATTCGTTTCAGCTCAGGTAGCAGTTCGCTGAAGACGTCCGTCTCGTTGTCTGAAGCTGCCTCCATTAGCTGCAGTCAGCGTGGCGAACGGAGCTCGACACGTCAGGCGACCACGTGCGCAACCATCGCGCGAAAGCTTCGACACGAGCGACCAACAAAGGCACAGCTGCGCACCTGCGTCAAAACTCCCCCAGAAGGATCCGACCAGCCCGCCTCGTCCTCGCAGATCCCTGCCTCAGAGCTACCCGACGACGACGTCATCGAAATCGGGGGACGCTGGGCGTTGTGGTGTCGCTCGCCCGTCGAAGGCCGTGGGCTGCGCAGGCGAGAGACCGCGTCGGTCCTGCTGCGAAGGTGCCCGATGCGGATGGCGATTGCAAAGGTTGGGAATCGGCTGACACGTTGTCCTGCAGCGACCGAATGTCGGCGACAATGCCGCTTGGACCCGCACTCGGAGGTGAAGGTGAGCACCAGCCGCCTAGGACCTCTTCGGCGTGGTGCGCTCAATGATTGGGGGATGCCTCCTCGCGAATACTCACTGACATCCGACGTAGCGCATGTGAGGTTGTCGTCGGCCCCAAGGAGTCGACGAAGCAATACTTCCGGACGGGGAGCCTCCCGGAGGCCCTCCGGGGGCCATTCAGGGATGAGGTGAGGTGAGGTGTCACATTCTTCGCGTCGTCAGCCATAAGGCTTTGGGACCTGAAAAGATCATTCGACTAGGTGGCGAGTCATGCTAACCCCCCACCGTTATGGTAGCAACAGGTTCGGCAGCTGTGACAGAGTCGGCCTGGAGCAGATCCTCGATGCCACGAGCAAAGATCGCCATGCCTCGCTGATTCGGCAGGTTCAGGAGATAACGCACTGCAGCGTTGGCAGCGGCTTCCGAGTCGAGTGTTGCAGCGCCGTACAAGTCCTCGAGGTGCTGGCGTAGCCGGCGGTTATGATGTGACGCCTCCGGGACGCATCGACAACTTCGACCCCGGGCATGTGAAGTCGCAGCTTGCAACGCTCGATCTCCTCACAGCAACAGCGAGACTGTGACGAGGTCTGCATGAAGAATCAGGCGTGACATTGTGCCGCCAGCTACGACTTGTTTGCATGAGCCGACCTTGCCAGAAAACTGCCGCCCAAGGTGGCCGTGGCAACTGGCCCAGAGTGGCGTGGACATGCCTGATTCCCGCCCACCCATCGGCGACACACGCTCGCAGCACATGACGGGAACGGCCATTGCACCATTGATGGCACTTCCATTTGCATGGTCGGCCACAGAATGTGGCATGCTGCTTTGTCGAGCCAGGAAGCGCAAGCTCGCGATAGTGCCAGCCGACCTCTAGCCTCATGCTCTTTGCCCAGTCAGGACCATCGGAGCCGTCAACGCAATTACAACGTTCAACATCGAAAAGGCGACTGGGGCGCCGCGTCGAAACGAGGATCCAGTGGCGCCCAGCATGCGCAAGATGGCTAGATTCCCCCGCTGCGAGGCCCATCGTCGGAACGAGGCGGGACTCCTGCCGCCAGAGTCCCGCGTGCACTCAGGTGAGAATTTGTTCGCGCGTGTTGAGTTGCCGTCCCTGCACCTCCACCTCCGTCCTTCTTGCAGGCCATACAGTGCCACCTGCGAGGTCGTCGGCCATTTGGGGGACGATGAGACGCACGTGGCGGGGCTGCTGCGACGCAGGCATACCCGGGGCTTCGGCGCACCGTTTCCCGGAAACGATCCACACGATACTGTCTGGGAGGGCAGGGCCACCCTCGTGCGCCACGCCGCCGACACTTCCGCCCTCGATAGTGAGGGCGGGAGCGGGTCCTGACAGTGTTGTCGCGAGTGCACTGGCACCGCCAATTGCCGCCGACACAGGAACTGCGTTGCGCTGCGTGCCCACAGCCGCATTGGGTGGAACTGTCAGCGGCGGAGCGTCGATGAGCGGCTCAGCGCCTCCCGCCGCCCCCTCAGCGAGGTTGGGGACAGGGCGATCGCCCCACAGCTTGATCAGCTCCTTCCACGCAGGCGGATCGCGGAGAAGCTCGTCGCGAATCACTCCAAGGATGTCCGCCGGGGCTTGCAGTCCCTGCGACAGGCGGTGGCCGACAGATGCATCGTGGAGTCCTGGCCAGCCAAAGCAATTGCTTGTTCTGTAGAAGCATGTCCAGATTCAATCTCACCTGTCTCTCGTACCAGCGGTACACCTTGAAGACACACCGGGCACACATGACCCGACAAGAAGCGCATCCAAGCGTGGGCAGGCCGGTGGAAGCGTAGCCCGCGAACCGCTTGACCTGTTGCAGCAAGTGGAACGCCCGACTCGTGTTAGTGGACAAGCTGAGCGAACTACCGGATCTGACGCTACACACCAGGAAGAGGCGAGCGCGCGAGTAACAGAAGGTCAGCGAGACAGGGTCTGGCGCCGAGGAAGCAATGCCTGAAGAGCCTCACCTTGGATGGAGTCCGGTCCGCTCGCGGAAGCCGGGCCCTCTTCTGTCTCCACGGCTCGATCTGACGCACAACGCCATCGCGAGCAGCATTGGGTCGCCCCTGAGGATCGCCGCCCCCCCAAGGATGATGCTTCAACCGTGCAGATGGCTTGACCTCCCGCCCGCTGCGCGAGGCGACTGGATCGGCGCGTTGGGACTCATCGTCCGTCTCTGGCTGTACCGTGCGCGTAGGGGTCTTTGCCTTCTTCGACGGCTTTGCCTTGACCGGGTTTCCCTGTGAAGGCAGTGCATGAGTGGGCGCAGAGCCGAGCGCTGCCTTTGCGGGCACTGTCCTCGACGTCGCAGCCATAGCAGGCGACTTTCCTGCTCCAAGTGGATTTCCCGCAGATGGCGCATCAGGCTGTCGCGTGGGGTTCTGTCCAAGGGCCTCTCCATGTGCACGTGACGTCTTCCCGCCAGCCCCTGTCGCAGAGGGGCGCTTGAGTCCCGGAATCTTCTTTGGCGGTGGCTGCTGGACCTCGAATGTGTCTGCCGGCCGCTTCAGACACCGCTTGAGCGCCAACTTCTTTGCCAAGACTTTGCGCTGCTCCTGCCTGGCGTGATCCGCGGCCCCTGCGAGCCTCCATGCACCAAAGCTGTCAATGTGCAGCCCTGAGGGTGTCGCATCTGCGCGTGAAAGCGGCAGTCATGTCGTTGCCGCACCTGTGGCGTAGGCCTTCGGATCATCGTATGCAAGGAGCCGCCGATTGCTCTTCCTCTCGCGCGTACCCTCGATAATTCCGTCGTCGCTCTCTTCGCTCCCACTGCTGCTGTCCGGAACTGCGCGAGCGTGGCGAGCAAAACTGCTGAGAAATGCTGGTCAACACGAAAGGTGCATGGTCAACAAGCACCGTGCGCGAACCTTCTTCCACGTATCCACGCTGCCGTTTCTGCGGAACAGGCGCGCCTTCCTGCGAGCACGCCGGAGCACAGTGATGGACGTGGGCATGCAAGTCGGACCTTTCGGGCCCAAAGTGAGATGCACCTCTTTCGCTGCCTGCGACTCACCTCTCGCGGCCCGACGCGCATCTTCAGCGCCACGCGATCGTGGCGTCCGACGTCCAGTGAGACGTGGACCCTCGCCAGCCTGTACTTGTTCTTCTCTCGCCTTGAAAGCGAGCTGTCGAGCTTTGTGTTTCCGGTCCTGATGCAGCAGCCGTCGATGATCTGCTCCCGGAGGAAGCGCGGCAGCGGGAATGCGTGGCTCTTCAGCGTCGCCTGCGTGGAAGACGTGAGCGCGGCAAAGCCGACCTTTTGGGACCACGGGCAACATATGTGCAAGCCTCATGACCTGTTGTGAGAGCGCCACGTTCGGCCACGTGCGCAGACGCCGCCGCAGATATCTTGCGAGGGGAATTGCGGCGCACCCTGTGCAGCGCGTCTGCCGGAACTCGGAAGTGAGCAGCAAGGCGGAAGTCCGTCCTCCACATGTTGATCGTGCCGATGAACAACGCCGACATCTCGTCGCTCGTCAGCAGGAAGGGGTTGAAGTTGCGCAGCTGCTCGTCAGTGAGCCCGAGGCACTTCGTCACGACGTGCTTGTGCAAGCGGAACCTGTTCGCCTTCTCCGTGAGCCTGCAGATCGCGCGAGTCGCGACGGGCGTCGTTGAGATGCAGCGACGAACGCGCGCGCAAGTTCTTGTACAGGACGCGACGTGTGCGGCCCTCACGTTCCGACCCTCTGGAAGTGACGCGCGATGTCGTCATCGGTCTCCCACGTGTCGTGCTTGTGAGGCGTCCCGTCTTGCATCCACCAGCGCAACGGTTCAGCGACGACCTCGATGAAGACCTCCCTTTCCGGTTTTTCGTTACGCGCGACCGGATTCTGCGCACAACCGATGGACGAGGTGGAGTCGTTTGTGGCTGCAGGACATTTCCACCGGAGGGAAGGACCGTGACGTTGGGTGTGTTGCTCGCCTGACTGCCCGTGTAACCGGGGTTGACGACCTGCCATGCCCAGCGTAGGAATGCCTGTTCCTCTTCAGAAAGCGCCCCAGTCGAGTCCTTCAGATCCGTCTTTGGCGCCACAGGCTTCTGCAGGGACTTGGCGTCTCAAATGTCGTGACGGGCACGCAGCTGTGAGGGCAGCGTCGACGGCGGGGTATGCGAGGGACCGACCTTGGGTTTGTTCGGCGCAAGCATGCTCCCGACCACGTTGTCGACCGTGTACAGGTTCCGCTTGTTTCCCCCGATTGCGTTCGACGTGAGTGCGCCGGGGATACGGAAACCACTGATGCCCGCGAAGATGTCGCTGCCGACGCCTGAAACGGTGGGCCCCGGCTGCTCCGTCGCAGCAGCAGGAGCGTCGCGGTCATCCTCGCCCCCTTCGATGCTGCGCGGGGAGGCCGCGCACATCTGCATGCCTGCGCCAGGTTTGTCGGCAGGGCTGCCTCGGTGACAGTTCTGTTGCCGCAGGCGTGCGGGCAGGTCGTCCAGCATGTCCTCCTCGGCCTCTCCCTGCGAGCAAGACGCCGCCTCGTTGAGTTGGGGGCTGTTGCTCACCGAGGGCCGCGACTCTCATACGGGCGACAGACCGCATGCACCGCGCGAGAGTGCATAGACTGCGTTACCTGCACATACGTCTTCTGCGACTGGATGAATCGTTCCCGCGCTTGTTGGCGCTCCAATTCAAGTTGACGGACGAGCTTGGCAATCTGCAGCAGAGAAGGAGGAGGATTGACAGCTGTCGCGCGTACGGATGCACGGACGCAGTGTGACCAGGACGGTCGTGGCGTGGGTTTGTCGGGGAGGCGTGTTTCCTCACGTTGAGCAGCTGCTGGTCCAAGAACTCGCTGTTCTCCGCGACGCGATTGGCGTTGTACACGTGCCCAGCCTTGCTCATGCTGTTGAACACCCCGCTCGTCACGCCAAGGCCCCGTTCTGCGTCTGAGAGCGGCCGCTTCACCACCCGCCCCGTGCGACTGGACATGGCAACCACCAGCTCAGGCGGCGGGCAGTGCAGTTCTTCCTTCTTCGCGCTTTTCGAAGCAGGTGCCCGCTGTCGCGTGAGCTGAGCCTTTCGGGCCCTGATTTTGACCTCCTCAGCGCGCAGCTGGGAGAGCATGCTCTGACGCTGCCTCTCCTCGATCGCAAGGTGCTTGCGCTCGTGGTAGCGCTTGAGCTCAGCTCGTGGGTTCCACCACATGTTCCCAGTCAGGCGAACCACCTGCGTCACGCAAGAGGTCGCCAGGAAAGGTCGGCAACCAGGTCAAGACACGGAGCTGGCCAGGACGTGGCGTTGCGAGTCGCTTGCCTGCGGGTCTCTGTCCAGGATGTGACAGCGCTTCCGGTTCTCGCGCATGTTCTCGCGCATTTTGTCCTTGAGCCACGGCATCTGCGCGGGGAACCACGCCACGCATTCTTCAGCAACTTCTCGTCGTTGTGCAACCAAGCGTGCACTGCGGGCTGCCGGCGGACCGGGCTGGAGAGCGTGCGTGGCGGGCACATCGCACCTTGACGACGAGATGCTCGCTCATGTACATGTAGGCGATGTTCGTCAGCGGGAGCGCCTGGGTGAACTTGTCCCAAGCCTTCATGGAGATCTCCGCGTTCTCTCCGATGTTCACGGCGTAAATGTTCCACTTGGACTGACAGAGCTCGACGATCTTGTCCAACTACGCGGGCACGGTGGCGCCAGCGCGGCACAGTCACGCGCCGCGGTCTCGCACGACCAGGGAGCAGTTCAGTTCAGTCTGGGTGAGGCCCACCTGCTCGTCGAACATGGCCAGTTCGAAGTTCTGAATGTACAGGACCTCGATGCGATCGTTGAGCCAAAGCGCGTCCAGGATGCGGTTGATCTCCGCCGACCGCACTTCCGAGGGGATGTATTGTTTCAGGCGCAGGATCTTCCCGTCCGCCTGGAACTCCCTGCGAGCACGCAGTCCGGGCGGCGGGCGGTCGGTCGCCTGCACGGGTCCGTCACCGGCCGCGCCGGCCCTCGTCTCCCCCGCGCACCTGGAGTTGGTCTCGATCTTGTGGATCAGGTCCTGGAAGTCGCGCCGGAACATGAAGTCCCGCGGACGACGTGCGGAGCGCCGCGCGAGGCCGGCGTCGTCCGCGACGTCCTCCTCCGCCGCCTCCTCGACGTCGGGGATGCCCCCGATCTGCCCCGCCTCCAAGCGGGCACGCTCCTCGGCAACCCACCGCGCGCGCTCGGGGGGGAAGGCTGCAGCGGGCGGGCGGCGGCATAGGGAGCTCGTGGGCGTTCGGGGGAGGGAGGGCGGGGGCGCCGTCGGTCGCCGGGCCTCTGGCCGGAGGGTGAGGCGAGGTGCGACGAGTGGCATCAACTTACGCTGTGGTGCTTTGGGCCAGCCCGGACGGACACCTCTGGCCTTCGGGCGCCGTTCCTCTCCCCCGGACGCCGGCGGTTGGCACGAAATGTCCTGCGCGACCGGCGTTGCCGCAGCGACCGGCGGAGCGCGCACGCGCTGGTCAGCAGTGCCGGCTTCATCCGGCGCCTCGTGCGCGCGGTCTTCAACAACCCTGCAAGCGTGGGACGGACGTACAGAAGGTTTCGCCGGCAGCCGCGCGGCCAGCGCGCCGCGGCTGTCCGTGCTCCCGCGCGCGCCCGTGTCTGATGGGGAGCGAAAGTGCGGTTCGACGAGGAGGGGCGCACAGGCGCTGACCTTGCGGCGTGCTGCATGCTAGCGGTGTGGTCTCCACTTGTCGCGGAGTCCGAGACCGTCGCTGGGACGCGAGCGGCCCCATGCGCCGTGCCGCCCCCCAGTGGTGCAGGAGCTTGCTGCAGACGGAGCGCACCGCCAGTGCGAGCGGTATTTGAGGCGGATCGAGGGCTTGTCGATGTCGGAGAAAGCTGGATATCGTGCCGTGCGGCCCACCGGGCGCGAGTTCGCGTATTCGGCGCGTGTGACGGTGCCGGAAACACGCTGTCCCAGGGAGCAACGGTTGCGAGAGGAAATGCCGCCCGCACGGGCTGTTCCCCACGATCGACGGTCGCGCATGGGACGAGGGCCGCATGAGTCCTGCGCACCTGGGGCTCCGTGTTCCCCGCGGCCGGCGCAATCGTCCCTAAACCGCCGTTGTCACCCAGATGAGACACACCGTAGCACGCCGGCCCTGCTCCGGCACTGCACGCCAGCGAGTTCCGGGGCAGCGCACGTCGCGACCACGGTGTCCCGATCGCGCGCAGCGGCCGCGCCACCAGGCGTGTTGGGAGGGAGAGGCGGACGCGGCGGGTCGGGGCTTGCCTTGCGAGGGTGTCCTGTTTGCCCTGCCCCGGTTCGTCAACAGGCCCTGACGCAGTGACTGGAACAGCGTGCATCGATGCATGTCGGTGCTGGGAGTCGAGGGTGTTGCCGACCGGCGGAGCGCGGCCTGTGGCGCAGTTGGCGCCATTTCCCTCCTGTATCATGATTCCGCACTCCTGCGCCGGACACCTCCCTAGGGCATCCACGCCGAGTCTCTGCGACAATTCGCTGCAAACGGCGCCTCGAGGGGCGGAAGTACCGGCGGAAACGCGAGCAGTGACCTGTCAACCGCACTCCATGCAGCGAAGCACCAAACTGCTCACCCAACGCTAGCTTGAGCCAGCACTAGCACGCATCGCGACGCGAGGATGGTCGGGGCGGGTCAATGGCCGCCTGCCGTCCCGGCGAGGCGCATTGAACGGCGGCCCGGCCCCGTTCAACGGGGCAGACGGAGAGTGGTTGACAGTCGGGCGGCGCCAGGCCCCGGGGACCGCGAGTGCCGCGGCTCGCGGGGGGAACAGACGCCTCGCGATGGACACATGCGATTTCGTCGCCGAAAAGCCGGGTATCCGGGCCGTATCAGGTTCTCCGCGGCCTCTGCAGTGGTGCGAGCAGCGCCTCCGTCCGGGGACGACTGTGGATGTGGCCGTTCACAGGGAGCAAGCGCGAGGGTGAGCAGTGCGAGCGCACGATGAAGGCCGTAGTGTTCGGAGCGACTGGCGCCGTTGGCAGGTGCGCTGTGCACACACTGAGGCATCGCGACTCGTCCCTCCGTGGTTGGGTGCCCGCCTCCATGGTGGGAAGCCCCCCGTCGCTCGCTGTCTCATATCAGCGCCTTCGCGATCACTCGAGCACCGTTCGGACGGTTCGTTCCGCGTCACATCGACGCCCTCGTCGAGGAGAGTGCAGAGAACTCGTCAACGCGCTGCTGGCCTCCAAATGCTGGGAGAGCGTCACGACGATCGGGAGGCGGAGACTGGATGACGGCAAACCAGGTGGACCGCCGTCTGACTCCAAGCTGAACCAGGCGAGCGCTGCGGCACGCGCTATCAACCAAATGAGTGAACTTGTCGCGCCAGCCCCCGCGTGCTGTCGATCGCCATATGTGCTTTAAATTCCGCTCTGCTTCAACTCAGGCACTTCAGCCGCCGTGCAAGCCTGAAAGTGCTCGCTGCCGTGGAGGATTGTCCACTCTGCTGCTCCCTGTGCTTATGCGCACGGCACAAGTCGCTCTGGTCGGCCGATGCAACGCGCCGCGCGCAACTGTCAGCCTGAGCCTGCCGTCCGAGGCCGGTGCGTCCGCAGGTCGTCGTAGACATGGAGCAGCTCGCACAGTCGTCCGAGGCGGCTGCTGCCTGCAAGGGTGGCGATGTCTGCTTCATCACGCTGGGGACCACGCGCAAGGCGGCCGGATCCGCAGACGCCTTCGTACGACTCGACCGCGACATTGTGGTCGATGCAGCGAAGATCGTGAGTGACCGTGTGCCCCCAGCTCTCAACACAGCGTTTTCAAGGTCCCGCGAGGGGCTGAATGCGAGAGGCACGCTCGTGCTCACTCCCTTGCCACGACCGATGCTCGGATGTTGCGCGCGGTGCAGGCGAAGGACAGCGGGGTGAGGCATCTGTCGCTGCTGACTGCCCAGGGCTCAAACTCGAGTGTTTGGGGTCCTCGACTAGGAGCCTTCCACGGGCTGCTGTACATGAAGACCAAAGGTTCGTGGCGACCCGCACGTCGCACGTTTCAACGACTTGCTCGTGCAAGTTGCGGCGGATCGATGCGAAGGCTGCGCCTGCAGCAGCAGCCTGCCCTCTCGCTGACTAGCTCCTCGGCGCTAGCACTCAGACGCCGCTATTCGTCCCCGCAGGTCAAGCCGAGGACGCATGCCGTGCACTGGGTTTCGAAGCGACGTCGATTTTCCGCCCAGCTCTGATCGTCAGGCAAGTAGTGCAGCTCCGCCTTCGCGCTGCGACCTCTCCCCCTAGTGCCCACGATGTGGATGAAAGCGACGCGCGGGGACGACGTGCCGCGCGGCGTGATCGGCGACGCTCGATCGACTATTTTCGTGTGCAGACCGGAGCCCAGACCCTTCGAGTCGATCATCGCGGGGGTGTCGAAGGTGTTTGGCCAGTCGACTGCCGCACACACGCTCGCAAACGTCATGGCAGCCGATGCGGAGGGCCGCCCGAGGGGGACGGTGGTGTGGGAACTGAAGGACATCAAGCGAGCGGGCGCGTCCCTGGAGCGCGCACAAGCCCGCGGTGATGGCGAGCGCGAGTAGAACGCGGATCGAGCGAACTGCGCCTTCACACGGCGGACCGGGTGGGGCGGGTTGTGGGATCGGCGGCCCGTGCAGCCCTCACACCTGCTTCAAGGCATGCAGCGGCGTTCTCACTGCACACGCCTGCTCAGCACCACCGGGCAGCTTTCGAAAGGGATTCTGATCCCGACCAGCTTGTGCGGCACGTATGGTGGCAGGACCCCGTTCGGATCCCCTGTGTCGCCCTTCCACATTTTTTGCTGCGTTGCTGCACGATCTCCATCTTGGATGTCCATCCCGATGACGGTGTCGACGATGTCCGGCAGGCCGACGCCTAGAGCGCGCCATCCGAGGAATTTTGAAACCCGTGCAGCCAGTCGCCGCGCGAAAGACTGGTCCTGGCTCGCACCGCGGGTCCGTGGAGCTCGAGCGACCGTCGCCTCGAACCTTGTGAGGATCATCGTCGAGAGCAACGCCAGCTCCGTCTCCGCTAATCGTCGCCCCGGGCAGCGGTACACACCGCCCCCCCACACGACGCCAGACACCTGGCCTTTCGCAAAGCCTGCCAACCCGTCGCAGAGGCCCACCCTGTCCGGGTCGTACCGCCATGGCTCTCCAGCCTGAAACTCGGGATGATGCTGCGCACACGCGAGGTGAGGAGGGCCGTGAGCGGCCAGTATCTTTTTGTGGGCGGGGCCGTCAACGTGGCTCAGATGGGAAGCGCACTTGCAGGTAAAAGGGACAGATCGCCAACGTTCTGCCACGCGGGATGCGCGTGCACGCGCTCGGCCGATCGTCAACTTCGACGTCCATGGATGCGAACCTCACTGCGATCCCTGGAGACCGCAGCCTCAGTGCTTCGGCAACACACCTGTGCAGGACGGACGGGGTCAGAAGGGCTCTGGCGGGTGGCACTGATGACAGGCTGATCTTCCTCGCGGCCGATGATTCGCCCTTGCAAGCGACCCAGCGTGCAGCCCCATGCAAATGCACACCTGTGAATGTGCGCCGCGCCGTCGAGTGCAACTTGCACACAGCCTTCGACGACGTCCCCGCTGCCGCGAGCAGCGGCATCACGTGCCTCCGCCAGGACCCTCCTCAGGTGCTTCTCGTTCTCTGGGAGGAGCAGGAATGCCGTCGTCCAGAAAAGTCCGGGCGCCGTGTTCGCCTGCATCGTGACGCGAGACACGCAGCGGCTCATGACCACGTCGGCGAGGATGATCTGCTGTCGCGCGCCGCTGAAAGGACAGTCGTGTGGCGGGACATGCACGCCTGTTGTGGTGGTGTGCCATGCGTACCTGGCTGGCCCACAACAGGCTGAGCAGGACATTGCTGTAGTGTGGACGTGGTATGTGGCTCGTGTCGACCAACCTCGCCGCCATGGACCCCTCCATCCAGCCCTTGGAGTACCCCTCTTCGAGCATGCAAAGCAACTCCTTGCGGGAGGCACTCCAATTGCGGAGCAGGGCGTGCGGCAGGGGCGACGCTGCTAGCTCGAACTGGTCCTCGAACGTCTCGAAGCATTCACGCAGCCGTGGACGGGTGGCCTCGAACATGGCGTCTCCGAAGACGGCTCGAACACCTGCTTCGAACGCCAGGCCGTGGCAGAGCTCGACCAGGTCCGTCCGGGTCTCTCCAGGTGCGACACCGACGCGCGACAGGATGTTCCGGCACGTGGAGGCCATGTGCTCCGCGTTTTCTCGCGGGTCGATGGCCTGCAGCATAGTGGGGGTCCTGCTCGCGTTAGACTCCGACGCGACAGCTCGGAGCCGAAGCCCAAGGCACCGCGAGTGGGTACCAACGGGGTGATGCGCCTGGCCACGACGCCGGCACGATCGTCCGGGGCTGCTCGCCTGTCGAAGAGCCGAGAGGATGTCTTGGTGATGGCGGCGGAACTCCGTCGCCGGCAGCCGGAAGATGCGCGACGTCCACTGCTCGACCGCAGGCAGGAACGTCACGTTCCGCGACGTGAAGAAGAGGCTCACCGCGCGCTTGGAGGTCATGAAGGTGAAGTTCTTCCCAAACACCACCAGCGAGAAGCACGAGCAGGCGTGCCGCGCGCACTCGGCGACGAACGCGACGTTTCCAACCCCGAGCGCAACAGCGCTGCCGACCGGCCACGGGAGTGAGGCCAGCGTCGTCATCACGCGGGGCGCCTTCACGGCGTCCTTGTTTGCGCTCACGAGGAGCGTCACGGCCACCACGGCCGGGGCGACGGTGGCGGCGAGCAGCAGCATCGCCGTCTGCGAGGACATGCTCGCCAGCGCGTCTGCCACGGCGCCGAACATCGTGTGAGGCCGTAGCGGCGCGTGGTTCATGGTGCCCTGATGCTGCGTGGTGGGCGGCGTGGTGTGCGTGCGACGCCCATCAAATGCAACGACCGCGTTGGTCAGGGACGGGTGGACTCGCAAGTCAGCCACAGCGAGGGCCGGGCCAGGCGTGAGCGTCTGCAGCAACGTGAATCCCTCTCAGGTGAGCCCGAGCACCACCGGCGAACAGAACCAAAGGTACGAGGAGCCAACGCAGCGGCGTGTCGCCGCGTTCGCGAGGAGGGACTGCGGGTCGCTGCGAGACGCCGTCGCTGTGAGCTCCGCCCGCTCGCGCAGGTCGGAGCTGCGGTGTCCTTGGAGGACTCCGGGGAGGGATCGCCGACGAGCCGCCCGCGCCGCATGACGCGCCGCCGTCATGGTGGCGCCGTGCCGCGGGGAGTCGCAGATCACGGCCGAGCCGCGCGTGTGCTGCAGACGGACATTCTCTCGACGCAACTGAAAGCTAGACAGGAACGGACCGCCCTGCTCACCGGCTGGGCCGTGCTGGACCATGGCGGAGGCGGCAGGTGACTGCACTGATAGAGATGAGCGCGGGGCTTCGCTCCAGGGCCCTTGCTCTGGTGCTTTACTGCGGCAGCGGCGACCCTCAGTGCTCAGCCTTGCATGGCCGTGCCTGCCCAGGCTCGCCGCCCGCTGTCCACCGCTCGCGTTCCGGCTCGCTCGACACCTCACCGCCTGACAAACCGCGTCCTCTCGATGCGGCTGATATTTCGCCGTGACGCGCCGGTGTCGGCCCCGAAAGCTCACCCCATGCACTTCTGCGCGTTCGCGCGTCGTTCAACGTGCCGAAAGGCATGTCAACCGGCCAATTTGTGCGCAGATGGTGCACAGGGAGCCGTGCAACAGAGTGTGGCCCCGGCAGAGGAAGAGAAGCCGGCAGAGGTGAGGTGGACACAGCTGCATCTGGCATGGAGCCCGCGTGCTCCGTCGCCTGGCTCCTGCCGCGTCAGCAGCGACCGATTCCTGCGCCGTTTGCGGCAAAGTCCTGCTCCGCCCTGTGTTTCGGCGTCATCACGGCGGGCAGATGAGCGTCGCACATCCCGCGCCCTGCAGCGCGAAAGTTGCCTGCGAGGGCGAACGAGGTTCACAGGTTGCCCTCGCCCTCACGACCCCGCGCCCTGTCTCTCGACTGCTCTCCAGGGCTCCGTGAAGTTCGAGAACGTCGAAGCGGCGCGGGACGCGGAGCGCGCCGCTCTCGAAGTGCACAACCAAGTCACTGCTGCGGCGATGCCAATCAGGCAGTACCTGGAAAGTACAGTGGTTCCGATCGTCATGGCGGGCATGCAGGTATGCAGGCCGCCGAGAGCGCGGCCACCGCGTCGCGGGCACCGCCGTGGCATCCGTTGGATCTGGTCCTCCTGCCAGCCCCGCGCGACACGCTGCAACGCGGTCTGCGCTCCGTCTCCGCCTCGCAGGCTGTCGTCAAGGAGCGACCCGACGACCCGGTCGAGTACTTGGCGACCTACATGCTCAAGAACAACCCCAGCAAGAAGGCATGAGAGGGCACGTGCGCTCGTTGCGCAACACCGCGGACGAGGGCGCCTTGTCGCGCCTGCCGGCACCGCGGCGCGTCCCTTGCCACGGGACGAAGTCCGCGGGACGACGGGCTGGCCGTGTTTGGCGGCAGGTAGGGGCACAGATGTGATGGCTGGTTGGCGAGGCACTATTAGTGGCGATGTCGCTCCTCTGAAGAGCTGGATGAGCCTGCGCTGCTGGCCAGCCCCTTGAGCGAGCTGCGAGCGCGCGTGTCGTGGTCGCGGCCGTCGTCGCCGTCGTCATCACCTGACAGCTCGGGCCACTGGGTGCGCCTTGGCGCTGCGATCGTAGCCGCGGCGTGTTCCGCGACTGCGCATTGTGGTGGAGCCCGTGGGGCAGGGGCATCCTGGGATGATGCTTCTGGCACCGGCGCACATCTAGCGCGAACCTCGCTGAACTTCTGTGTCCCGCGCCCGTCGTTGCAGTGCACAGTGTTCGCGGACGAGAGTTTGCCGACGGCGCCACGGCCCGACCTGATCGCACGAGCAGCGCGATGGCAGGGAGCGTGTCCGCCCCGCCATGCTCGACGGCAAGGCATCAAGCCCGATGCATCACAGGCCCATGCGCGCCACACCGCCACACAACGCCCGTGCTTGCCTCCGCCAGCACGGCCTAGTTGCCGCCCGTGATCTTCTTCTTCAGGTCCTCGATGTCGGCGACGAGCTCCTGCCGGGACGACTTGAAGAGGAGGTAGCGGTAGACGAACCAGGCGCTGTACGAGAGCCCGATGAGCTCCATCAGCTTGGGGAGCAGCGGCACGCTGTTCACGGCGCCCACGACGGTGCTCGCCAGCCACAGCGCCACGATGCCGCCCACGACGTAGATGATGGCCGTCGTCTTGTCCTCAACCCTGCAGGGACGATCCGGAGCCCAGGAGGTGGGTTGAGGTGCGCGCACGCAGTGCAGTTGAGCCGGCGGGTGGCAGAGCTCTCTGCGCGGGCCAGCGCTCGCGCACGCACGCACACGCACGACTGGACCGAGGCGGAGACACGCGCTGCCGGGGCTTGCGTGCCGGGCGCGGGGAGCTGCCCGAAGGTAGGATGGCAGCACGACTTGGCACGAAATGTGGGTCGCAAGGGCGGCTGTGGCAGCCCGTCCGGTCATAACTACACGCTGGCATGGCAGCGCCCAGTGCGGTGCGTCCGACAGAGCGTTTGGGTAGGCGGGACGCTCGATCGCGGCAATCCTCCTTCGAGGCCACTGGAAAAAGCTCTCCCGCGTTCTGTTTGTGACGCGCTACCGGGGCCGCGGACACGCACGATGATTTCAACAATCTACATGGAGCACGGCTGGCCAAACAGGCCCAGCGGAGTCCGCCCGTAGCCGCAGAGCGCGGCTCATGCCCTGGGCCATCGCTCGGTATGGCTCGCTGCGCACGCGAAGCGGGTTGCTTGCAGCGGCAATGTCGCGAGCGAAAAAAATACATCGAGCACGGCGCATCGTGACCGGTGTTGGGCGCGCCCTTACTTGTCCCAGGAGGCCTTGGCATCGGCGATGATGCTCTCGACGTCCACGGACGACTCCTCGCCAGCCCGACGCGCCACGTTGCGGGCCTTCGACACACGCGGGGCCACCGGTGCGGCGCGCGGGCGCAGGGCCGTCACGCCGCGCGCCTGCGCAGCAGCACGCGCGGTGAAGGCCGAGCGGGCCAGAACCGTGTTCATCGCGTCTTCTAAAGGGGAACTGAAGCGAAGGAAAATGTCTTGTGTGCACCAGCCCCGCTGCTTGGCGCCCAAAAGGCGCCCGCGTGCTCAGACCATGGGACCCCTCCAAGGTCCCAAGGGAAATTCCCATTGGACGTTCCCGTGTCTTCCCCCCGCGTCGTTGCACGAGATCGGGGGGGCACATGCGGCACCGGCAACGCATCATCATACCAACGACGCGCGGTTTCTCCTGCAGCACGTCCACGATGCCGCGTACTCCACGCTTGACCGCGCACCTTGGCCACCTCGCGCACAGGCCGTCTCGCATCAGTCGCTGCCATGCACACGAGCTCGTGCCGCGGCGGCGCGCGAGCCGGAACGTCCACTGGTCGGCGAGGCCTGTCGCGGGCCGGCGACCGACGTCCTCGCGCGGGCTGCCCAGGATGTGCGTGCAAAGCCAGGGAACACTCGCGTCCGTCCCTGCGCGTCCCCCGTGCGTCGGTCCCTGAGTGGCATGCGCGGTGATGTCGACGTGATGTCACTGGCGCGTGCTGCCACGAACGCCGTCCAGTCCTCCACAGGCGGGCGGCCAGGGCGACGCGGACCGTGCGGTTGCCTCCCACAGAGGCAACTGCCTCATCGCGTCACAGGCGCACCGCTGCCTGCGATCACATTGCTGCGGACGCTTGCGGGCCGCGCGCGGCGGGGTCGCGAGGCCGAAAACGTCACGTGCACCGGTCAATACGCTCCACGAAGTCTCGCAGCCGCGCCACCTGCTGCGCGACCTGCGGGAGCCCCTGCAGGTTCCGATCCAATTCCTTGCACTTCAGAAGGAACTGCGCGCCTAGCTCGCTGTATTGCAGGCTACTGTCGGCATGACTACGCACAGACTCGAGCAGCTGCTCCAGGGACTTGAAGGCACCTTGCAGCTCCTGTGCGGCGGGGAGGGGCGGGGAGATGTGAGACCGAAGCGGCTACTTGGCTCTGCTCTGACCCGCTCTTGCGCTTGCGTCCGCTGTTCCGCCCTCGGCGGGCCGGCGCACGGCTGTCCCGGCGTCGCTGCTCACCTTGCCGAAATTTGCCTCGCCTCGCGAGCGAGCGTCCTGAAGTACTTCACGGGCGGCGTGCATCTGCTCGGCCAGCGACAGCACCTCTTGCAGGCTCGGCTCCACGAAGGAGAGGAGGCGCGACAGCATGTGTGTGCGCGTGTTGACGCCGGGCTCGGGAACGGCGCTGAAGTCGAGCTCGTCGGCCGCGCGCTCTTGGTCGCCCCCGCCACCGCTGGCAGCTTCGTCCGCGACGGGCTGCCCCTCGACGTCGGCGGAGCGCGTCGGGGGATGTCCCGGCGGCGGCGAGGCTGACCTAGGTTGTTCATGCGGCTCGGCGGGAGCATCGGAGGCCGCGGGATCCATCGTTTGTCCGCGACACGCGTTCCGGCACGTGCGAAGGCTAGCTGCTATCTACTGTGTTGCGTCCGCCTTGGCGCCGACGCCCTGTGCCCGCAGCTCCTCCTCAGCCCTCTCCATCTCAGACTTCAGGCCGGCGGAGCCAGGTCCTAGCATGTAGATCGTGTAGCCGTAGATTCCCCCCGCGCAGCCCAGCACCGACCCGAGAATCAGCCAGCTGGGCACGAGGGGCTTCACAGAGCTGCAGCGTGCAGGACAAGCAGAGGGGCAACACCGTTGAGAGACAGACGGTCGCGCGATCTCTTGCTGCAACGCAGCGTCGCAGCTGTGCAGTGTGTATCGTCATGCGCTCTGCACGACCGGGCAGCATCGCTTTTCTCCGAAGGGCCCGCCTTTCTGCCATGGCTGGGCAAGCGGGGCTGTTCCCGTCTCGAACAGGCCGTGATCGGGACGGCAGACCGGCCCGATGTCATGCCAGGCACACAGTCGAGCTAGCGCGCATTGCAAGGAGCGCCCGTGCGCGCACCTCGCCTTGTCCGCCTCGACAGCCTTGGCAATGCCGGGCGACCACGGCTGTTCCGCGAGCAGCTTGCCTCCCAGCACAACGCGAAACTTCTTCCCGCCGGGACCCACGGCCTGCCCAAGCTCTGGGTGCGCAGCGGCCTGCAAGGATCCTCCCAGGAACGGCGCGACGTGACCCAGCGCTGGCCACACACAGACAACGACCCCGCACAGTCGCCGAGCAGCCACCTCGTGCAGCCGCGTGGGTGCAGAACATACAAGAGAGCGTGCGAGCGCGCGTGCGGGCTCCGTCGGCCACTGCGCGGTTCGTGAGGCGAGTGACCCTATGCCTGCGCACCTCAGCGTGCTTCGCGAGCGCACTGCTCGTCGAACAGAAGCTGCTTGATCCGCGGAACGACAACGAAGCCCTCAGTTGTCTGGAAGCCTGCCGCAACATGACCCTCGAAAGGGGGACGCGAGAGCTCGCAGCGTGCAGTGAACACCAGGACTAGATGAGCGACCTCTGCCGCGGTCCGGCCGACTTCCCGAACGGATAGGATGCACGCAGGGCGCGTGGCCGGGTGGTAACGGGGCGGGGGAGGTGCGTTCCGGAGTCCCCGCCCGGCCTGGCTCATGATGCAGCTCAGTCGGACGGCTGTCCACCGCGGTGACCGCCAGCACGCGCGGATGCGCCTCCTGCTTGCGCGTGCCATGTGGCTGCGCGGCAGGAAGTCGCGCTCACTCCCTGTCGCAGCGCAGAAGCCGCCCGGCGAAGCGTCTTTCCCGGCGACACGGTCCACTGCAGCCGGAGCAGGTATCAAGCTTGCAGGTGGCCGTCTGCGTTGCGGCGTGCCGTATCTGAACGTGCCGCGGTGGTGCACGTGCGGCTGAGTGCGTCCTCCGCGGTCAGGAGCGATCCGGTCCGTGCGGCATGTCGCATTCCTTCAGCATCGAGGACTTGCCCGGCAAGGGCCGTGGGCTCGTCGCAGCGCGGCCGCTACACGCCGGCGAGGTGATCGTCGCGGAGGAACCGGCTTTGACAGTGGTGTGCGAGGCGTACAAAGAGGTTTGCTGCTGCTCGTGTCTCCGGCAATGCACCGAGGTCCGTGCTGAGTGAAATCACCCGTGGCGGCTCGCCGGGCGCGGCATCGCCCCGCCCCCCCGCGACGAGCACGACACGCATGTGGATTTCGTTCGTTCGATCGTCGGTTGTGTTGCCGGCAGACCTGGGCATGCCTGGGCACCCACGTATCCCGCCGTGCAGGGACAGTCGGTTTGCCAGGCGTGTGGGCAGGCCAGCTTCTGCGGCCAGAACTGCTGGAACACCGCAACCACGACACCGGGCGTCCACGACCCGATGGTCTGCACTGGGCTCCGTGGTCTGGCGGGCGCCCAGATCCCCGCGGAGGACATCGACAGCGTTCGCTTTGTCATTCATGCTCTGGCGCTGCGACACGCGTCGGCGACGTCCGCGCCGGCGCTGGAACGGTGCGGCTCGTGCCGTCCGCGAAGATGGATGGGGCGAATCACGCCGCCGCGCGGACGGTCAGTGCGAGGACGCACATTGTCACTTTTCCGATTGTCGTCCGTTCCCTACAGGTACTCAAAAATCATGGCGCTCTGCGGCATGCCCAGCGACACGCGTGCGGAGTACATTCACAAGGTCGCCTGCCACGCTCTCGGCGTTCCAGGCAGCGCCATCAGCGACATGGAGATCGCGGCCCTTCTTCAGAAGGACGTGCTCAACTCGTACGGCGTGATGGCAGGGCCCAGCTCCCGAGCCGCAGAGGTTGGTAGCACGTCTGGTTGATCGCGCCTGTTCTCCGGAACGTGCGCCGAGGGAAGGTGCGTCTGCACTGAGACATTCCAACTCGTCCGCGTCGTGCGGTGCTGCACGTGCAGGAGCATTTCGAGAGGGACGTGCGGGCAGGATGTATTTATCCGATCGCGTCGCTGGTGAACCACGACTGCATGCCCAACGCCGCTCGCGTGGACAACTTCGACAACGGCGACACCCGAATCGCGCTCGTCGCGCTGCACGATATTCAGCAGGGGCAGGAGATATGCCAGGTAGGCGAAGCCTGTGCAGCCTCGGGCGCGCGGCCAACGAGCACAGCAGGGGCTGCGCTGTACGGGCAAAGCGTTGGGTTCCACTTGTCGTGCTGCAGAGCTATGTACCCCTCAACTGGGCGTGGGACGAACGGAAAGCGAAGCTGTCCGACTACGGCTTCGAGTGCCGATGCGAGAGGTGCAGGACCGAGTTCGAGTGGCCCTCCGACGGGGAGGTGCGAACAACACACGCGGGAGACGTCAGGCCGCGGCTTTGCGCCCCTGTGCGCGCCGAGTCGTGCACTCGCCTTGAACTGAGCCCTCGCTCCGTTTCAATTCCACGCAGGGCGACGGCGTCGAGGCAGGTCCTCGGACGGAGATGGACATGTACCTGAGTCTGTTCTTCATCAAGTACATCTGCCCGAACGAGAAATGCGGAGGGACTCTGGTCCCGCTCGTGGGCCAGGGTAGATCCAAATGCAATGTATGCGGGAAGGAGCGTTCAGAGGAAGAGTTTCAGCAGGAAATTGGTGCACGATGAAACGCGGCAATCCACGAGGGAATGTAGCCATCAAAAACACGCACAACAAGCGCGGGCCGCTGCCTGCGCGCTGTGGAGAGTGACTGAGAGCGTCCACACATGATCAGCTCGCTCAGTGGCGCGCCGCTGCCTGCGCCTGAGGTCGATGATGTTCGCAGCCCCTGGGGGTCCTGCTGGTCCTTCTGCAATCTCTGAGGGCGCCATTTGAAAGCCCCGGAACCATAGTTCCGTCCATCACAAGATGTTCATCGTCGTATCTACGCGTCGGTCTTTTCTTGCAAAACCAACTGAAGGTCCTGTGCAGTCGACCCTTGCATGCTGTGCACCTCGAAGTTCAGCAGTTGCCCGAGCGCCGACGGCGGCGACTGCACCCATGCGGACGGAGCGAAGCCCACCAGCCCGGCGATGCCCACTGTGAAGCCTGCAGCACGGATGAGGTTGACTGTTGTGACAACTGCTTCCGCTGCGGAGAGCGACGGTCTGGCGGCCCAGCGCAGCACTCACCTCCGCGGCACGGATTGAGGAGACGGCCGGGAACTGTCCGCCCGTCCTTGAAAGCGTCCCGCACTTCTTGCAACACAGCCTCCTCGATGAAACTTGCGTGGGCATGCCTGCGAACAGGGGCGAAGCGAGCACCCGCCATCGCAGCGGCTACTTGCGATGCGGCGCATGCGCAATCCATGGTCGGCGCTGGCGCGACATTCCTGGCGCCACAAGCGAGCACGCCTTGCCTGAGAGGTTGCAGCCAAGGCTCCTTGATCGGCGTGGTTCGATGCGTCAACGTGAGCAGCACCTCGTCGCCAACTCGAACGTCGTCGTCTCCGGAGCGCTCCCTGCACATCGGCCATGCACGTGCAACGCCGTGTCCCGGGAACACCGAGGGTGCACAGGGCGAGCGGGCCAGCCTGGTCGCTAGGGTCGCTCACCTCTGCCCCGCCTCGCAGCGCACAACCATGTTGAGAGTGATGTCACGCCGTCGGTACTGGTGCGGGCTATGCGGCAATCCAGTGTCGATCTGCACCCGCTTCGCGTCGACGGCCGAAACCCTGCCAACGAAGCGCATCCCACACAGGTCCGGTAGCGATGCACTCGAGGAGCGGAAGCCCTGCACACTTCAGCGTGACAATGCTGGTCCGTCGGAGGAGAAAAGCGCGAGGCGTGCACCCTCAAATCGAGAGGTCGGGCGGCGCTTGCCTGCATCTCCGTTGCTGTGAAGTGCTTCGCGCGCATCTGCATCAGCTCGTCCACGGGTCGCGGGCGTCTCTCTTGCCGCGCGTCCTCGTCGACTCTCGTGAAGCTGTGCGTCACGCTGTCGAGGTTTCCAGACGCGAGCGAGGTCGTGACGGCAACGCATCGCTGCCACAAGCCGGGGCTGCTCTCCGGCAGGTGCGCGCCGCGCGGCAACAGGGCTCGTGTTTTAGACAGGTGGAGCATGTTGTCGAAGTGAAGCGGCCGGGCTGCAGTGATTGGTGTGTCCTGACAACGCAGCAAACGCGTGCCCCGGAAGATACACTACCTACCGAGTGCTCACGCGTCTCCTCGAACAACGACCCGACAGAGCGGATCGACATGGCGTGGCACTCGCGCTCCCCATGGCAAAGGCGAGCTGGTGCCAGCTCGGCTTTTCCAGTCTCGGAAGTCTGACCGCGGAACACGTGAAAAAATTGCGCCGTCTGACAGGTCTGTCACTGAACTGCTGCAGGGTCGGCCGACGCGCGAACTGTACAACACTCAAATGCAGGCGTCACGGCTCACGTCCTCGTCCGAACCGAGGGCACTGCGCCTTCGCACGCGAGGCAGTGCATGATCATGGCGGTCGCTTGCGTGTGACCCGAGCCAAAGTCACGAATCCGGCGAGCTTCGCCCTACGTAATGAACTTTCAGTCTGACAAATGTGTCAAAACCGGAGGTCACAATAACCAAGGAAAGGGGTGGCCGAGAGCAACGACGTGGTGGAGTACCCGCACGCAAGATGAGCAGGCGGCGGCAACAGATGTCGGGGTCCTACGTGAGCTCTGCTGTTCTGCGGGAATGTCCTGGCCGCGAAATTGCAAGAGCAGGGCACATGAAGTTCGTGCTGGGAGAGGCATCATGCTTGAAAACAATGATGCTCACAAGAGCATGGTGAACATCACCTTGTCAAGGTGCGCTGACATCACACACAGGAGCTGCTCACCGATGACAGCAGGAGTAGACCGGCACACACGACGCCAGTGTGCCATGCCTGAGAGTCTGTGCCCACCCCGAACCAAAGTCCTCTCTGGGAGTAATGCTGGGCGTATCTCTCCTACGGCGTTCGCTGCGTTCAACATGTCGCAGTCACGTCTTTACCCCGACGGTCGTGCACGCGCATGGCCTGCTTGTTCCGACGGAGCATCGCAGACACCGCCCCTGAGCAGATGGTCAGGATCGCCCCTACTTAGCGACATGTCGAATGCCGAAGGCAGCCAAGCAGCATATCCCCTGGATGCAGAGCAGCCTGAAACTGAGCACCTCCTCCTCGCACGGCCCGAACAGCCATAAGCAGAAGTTCAACAAGTTGTAGTTATTCGTCGCATGCAGCAGGCCGGTCTTGGGGTCGAGTCTGCACCGAGACACGGGATCGCCGGCACTCAATCGCTCACCACCCGCTGCCAGGGGCGAGGCATTGTCACGCCGGGAACACCACGCACGCCGCAAGGCATGTGCTCACCTGCCGAGGCGATGCCGTGGACAGGGCACAATTTTCAGAAGCTGCGGCAAGGAGTAGGCGAAATTGAAGAGCTGCGGAATGAAGAACAACAGCAGCGTCTCCGGGAAGTGTCCCAGGATCCCCGCGACCGCCAGCACCATTCCAGCAAAGTATGTGTACGTGTCCCCCACGAACACCTTCGCCGGGAACCTGCGGGGTGCCGGGGCACGGACAAGGCGGGAATGAGCCAAAGGTAGCTGCAGCCACAGCGAGGGAAGACGGGCGCCGTGGAACGAGCGGGGTGAGAGCGGAGCACTGTGATTCGCACCAGTTGTACTGCAGGAGGGCTCCCGTCGTGGCGAACAACGGCAGAACGAGGAACACGCTCACGAGGTGGGCGTCCGGCCGGCCCCATCCTTGTCCGAGCGCGAGCAAGTTGAAGGCCAGTATGCTCGCCGAGATGATGGCAGTTTGCCCGGCTTCCAGTCCATTGACGCCTGCAGGCAGGGATCAGCGCGCGGGGTCTCGCCAGGGATGTCGACGAGAGGCACGGTGCACGCTCCGCGCGGGGCCGGACTCGTGCCTGCCAGGATGTTGATGGAGTTGGTGCAGAAGACGGTCACCAGCGCCATGGCAGCCTTGTACAAGGGGCCCAGTTCGAGGAGGTGCGGTAGACTTCCGACGACCGGAACTTGCAGCCCTCGCATCAGCCTGCACGTGACGAAGTGGTTCTGCCGCGTCTGGGCTCGAAGCATGACCCGAAGAAGCGCTGTTGACACCGTGCCCTGGGTCTCGTCTCACCTGGGTATGACAACAGTCGTAGGCCCTGAATACGACACGAGGAGCGGCAATGACGCCAGCATGGGCATCAGAATCTTGTACCGCCATGGGATGTCGAGGACGTCGTCCGCGAAGCCGAGCAACAGCATGAAGCAAATTGACGCCATCCCACCGTTGTACTGCACCAGCCAGCTGTAGCCGTCAGAGTCAAGGCGCCTCCCTGTATCCAACGGAACGACGGCGCATTCACGAGCCGTCGCAGGGCAGTGTCGCGCGTGCGACCGACCGCTGCAACGACCGCCGCCTCTCATTGCAAGGCGTCATATGTAGTACACCAGCACACCTTCGATCACCGTGTACACGAGCTGAAACAGGACGGCACACGAGAAGTAGACGCATCCGACGATCAGTCCAAGCGACTCCGGGATGACTTGGTCCTCGGCAGCTGTCCCCTTCTTGTTCAGATCTTTGCCTTGCAGGTTCGCCTTTACGAACACATGCTTGACTCTGCGACGCTGCAGGGGCTGAGGTCGGATGAGACGGAGATGCCATTCGACCGCGCGCCGACGGTCGGCGCTGGCCAGTTCGCCCAGGCTGTTGGGCAACAGGCCGACAGCACATCGCACACTTGCCTGGGGATTAGGGCTGCCGTTGCGTAGAATCCAGCGACACAGACGCATATGCATGAGATGATCGCGTTGATCACTGGTCGTGAGGGCAGGTGGACCGCCAGGATCGCAGCTTGCGGGATGCAGCAAGCCAGCAAAACCGCCCACAAACGCCGCCTTGACGACAACATCTCTCAATGCACGCGCCCGGGATGCGCTTGCAGACAACAACTGTACACAGCGACGCGTCGGACGTCAGATCCTTGAACCGCGGCGGCTAGTATCGGGCTATACCCTCTTGCCCCATCAAGGCCAGCAGCTTGACGTGCAGCTTGCGAGGGCGTGCAGCGAGCTTGCGAGCGTTCGAGCGCGAGCGCGGCAGAAGACCCGCGCGATGTCGCGATGGCGCCGGGAATGCGACCGCGAGCCTGGCGCTCTCAGCGGCAGCGCCAGGTACTTCTTCAGGCCGGTGCCGGACTGAACAGTCGTCGCCCGGGTGTGTCCTTCGCGGAAGCTGTTCAACATACCGCCGCCGAGTCAATTTGTGTCGGGGGCGGTCAGGCTGGGGCCCGGCCGGCGGAGTCAGCGTCGAACCGCGTCAAGGGCACGGCTCAGGGCCGCCGGGTGTGACCCCCCGTTGCGGCGTCACGCCTCCGGACTCACTGCGTTCGAGGCCCGGCACGTCTTCCTCAGTCCGCATGCTTTTGCTGTGCGGCCGACCGTCCACTTTTCAGGGTGCCCTCCCGCAGCAGGAGGGCGACGGAAGCGTTCCAACTGCTTCGCCACGATATCCGCCCAAGATCTGACGGGCTCCGCGATGGAGCTCCGGGGGGAGCGGGGCCCCCGGAAGCACCATCGCCAGTACGGCACAAGGTGAATGCGCCCTCCCGCGGGCGGCTGGCTTCGCAACCAGGGATATTCTCTGCAATGCTGCAGACCGCCGCACCTGTACGCTGGGTGGTATTGCGGCCTGAGCTTCCGCGCGCGGAGCCTCGTCCTTCTTGGCAACGCAGGCAGCCGTGGACCGCGGAGCAGGACGCCGCGCTCATCAAGCTCGTGGCCCAGTATGGCAAGAAGAACTGGAACACCATTTCCGAGTGCCTGAACAAGCAGGGCTTCGTCGAGAACGGAAAGCCTGTCGTCCGTGATGCGAAGTCATGCAGGTTGGCTCCCCGCGCAACGTCGCGCGGCCGCGATGTGCACTCTGCCTCGCACAAGCCCCAGCCAACACATCGCCAGGCGCCGGCGCCCGGTGCCTGCACGCGCTGCTGATGTGCGCTCTGGACGTGTCCTGCGTGAGGCTGTGTAGCGGAGTGCATGAACGTTCTTTTCGAGCGCTCGGAGGGGCGTGACTGGCGCAAGGTGAGGTGGACATGCTCAACCCGCCGCGAACTGGCCTGCAGGCTCCGCTGGTGCAACCAGCTGGACCCGTCCATCAACAAGGAGCCATTCACGGACGAGGAGAACCGATGTATCGCGGAGAAGCACCGTATGTTCGGCAACCGTTGGGCCCAAATCGCCTCCTTCCTGCCTGGCAGGACTGATAATGCGGGTGAGCGCCTGCCACGCAACCTGCGACGGAGACTCTCGCGCCCCGCGCCCCGCGGCCCCCGCAACACGCCGCCCCGACACGCAACGGCTGCTGTGCAGTGAAGAACCAGTGGAACTGCAAGATCAAGAAGATGCTCGGACATGACAGCAGGCGGCAGTCCAACGCCGAGTCGGAGTACTCGGTGGGAACGTCCGCCGGCTTCGAGGAGACGTACCAGGATGACCAACCGGGCTGGGGCAACGTGAGCGCCCGCCACAGTGACTCCGTTGCCGCGCAACATTCCCGGTTCAGACACGCAGCCGAAGCGCCTGCCAACCCCACGGACGCCGACCACGCCCGCATTCGCAGGTGATGCAGGGTGCTGGCAGCACGCGAGGCCTCCCGGGGGACCGCCCGGCACCGCAGGACGCGGTCCCTCGGCAGCCGAACCAGCAGGACTACCAGGACTACGTGCAGAAAGGGCTGCGGGAGCTCGAAGCGATGCTGGACCAGGACCGCGACGAAACACTGCGGTCGCAGAACGGCATCGATGCCAGCCTGCAGCCGATCGTCCCGAGTCTCGACTCTGAGGGCCTGGGGCTCTCGGACGCTGATCTCGAGCAGCTGGAAAACAGCATCGACGGCGGCAGCAGTGGCGGCTACGAGGCCGGCCGACAGCGCGCCCCCGGGAGTGCTGGGAACGGCCGACAGGGGAGGGCGGGCGTTTTCTCGGACGGGGCCCGGTCTGACATGTACCGCAACAGACCGGTCGCTGGCGGGTCGGGGCATGGGCACAAGCGAGCGTGGCAGGAAGCCGTGCGCTTCCAGGTGCACGACCTCCTCATCAAGCCCTTCGGACCCGTTCGCAAAGCCGCCACCGCGCCCGACCACCACCGCGAGAACTCCGCGAACGAGAGGGGGGAGCGGCAGCAGCTTGGCTCCATCCAGGAGTTCGTGTCGTGGCCTTCCGGGGACGTGCCGGAGCCAGAACAGCCCCGGAAGCGGCAGACGCGCCCAGCGGACGAGCTCGCCATGCAGGCTCGGGTCAACGCGCAGTCGGACGGCGCTGTGCCACAAAGTGGAACCTCGGCGCGCGGCATGACGGCGGCAGGGGCGATACACGCCCAGAACGTCTTCGACCTCATCGGCGGCCCGGAGTGGGCCGAGGATGCCTTCAAGCAGGAGCCACTGCCGCAGCGCACGTCTTCTGGCGACGGGCCGGGGGGTCAAATGAGGGCACAAGGCGCGGTGAACCCCGCGCCCTCGAACGACGGTTCCTGGCAAACTGGGGCGCGGTTTGGGTCGGACCCGGCGCAGCTCGCAAATGTGGAACCGCCGCAGTGGCGCATGGCGGGAGCAGAGCCGCCCGCGGATGCGCAAGGGGGGCCACCTGGGCAAGCAGAACAACAAGCAGGACGCCGGGACCTGCAGCCACCTGCTTGGCCAGCCTCAGCACCGGACAGGGGCTGGGGGGGGCAGATGCAGGGGGTCGCGGCGTCCCAGGGATGGGCGCCTCCCGTGTCGGGCTCTCCCAGCGCGTCCATGGAGCAGCCGGGTCCTGGGCAGGGGTTCTACCGCGGCATGGAGCACGGGTACGGTCAAGGAGCGACGGGCAGCCGTGACGCCTTCACGATCCCCGCGGCGGTCATGGCGAGCCTGTTCCAGCAAGACGTGCCCCCTGCGGTGGTCCAGAAGATCATGCGCGCCGCTGCTGCAGAACAGAGCGCACGACAGGCTCAGAGGCAGGCTCAGCGCGACCTCTACATGGCCGCGGCATCGTACGGGCTCTTCGATATGAATGCGATCGGTGGAGCGGGCAGCTTCGTGCCGGACGCCAACCAGAGGGAATTCCAACAACAACAGCAACAGGCGTCCAATTCCTGGGGAGACTGGCAGCGCATGGCACCGTCTAGCGGACAGATGTGGAACCCGCAGGTTGAGCCGCCTGTGCAGATGTCGTACGACGGCGCGCCTATCTCCTGCCGGCCCAACGAGGGACACGTGCCCCCGCCCCCAAACATCATGTACGACCCATCGTTCTACTCGAATGAGGGCCTCGACCGGTCGCCGCCGTTCGAGACGCAGAACTGGGACGGCCTCGGCCACCAGTCCGGCGTTGCCGAAAGGAAGTGACGCAATCGTGGGCCATGTAATTCGCAGTTGCAGTGGCAAGAGCATGCCCGCACTGTACGGCCCACATGCACAGCCACACGAGAAGCGCCGGCCACGATGAGCATCCTCGCGGTCGGGGGATGCCTGTAGGCCAGCGAACATCCAGAGCGAAGTACGAACAAACAAACCGTGTTGTCAGATCTGTCGAGGCCGGATGGTAGGGGAGGCCATTCTGCTCCTTCGGGAGTCTCGCAGTCTTCCCGAGCGTGCAATTGCGGCAGCATCGACACTGAAGGTGTGGAAGGTACCGGGCGGTCGCCTGCTGCAGCCTGGTGGCGCGGAAGCAGCCAGCACCAAACAGTTCGAAGGCGCGTCGCTTGCTCTGTCGTGCAGTCGCGTGAGCTTCGACTACGATGTTTCGCCGCGCATCATGACGGCGACGACAGGTCACATCACAGGAAGGAGAAGAGGTATTTCAACGACAGGACCACGATCGTGCCGAGACTCTTGATGAGCGATGTGCCGGAGATCGATCCAAGCTCGAAGAAGAAGTTGCCAGCAACCAGCGCTGTTGTCAGACTCAGCAGGAGATATCGCATGCCACCGCCCTTCTTCCCGCCGGCTTGCCGCCCTTGCCTCATGGCCTGCAAGGACATCGCGGTGATATGCATGATGTACCTCGCACCATGCCAAAGGGTCGATCACGAACGTCGCGCCTGAGCACATGGACAACACGGCGCAGACGCTTGCCTGAACCTCGGTCAAGAGTGTGCTGACTGTGCTCAGGCTGCCGCAGAACCCGATTGCGATTGCACTGAGAATGATTCGCTCCTCGGCTGGAATGACGTTGGAGCCGACGACGGCGGACGCGAGCGCGCCGAAGCAGAGGCAGGCCACAGACGTTGCGACGATGTTTGCCGTGAACGTGCCCCATGGGATCCGACCTGCGGGCGGGTGTCCCACGAGGCGCATGTCAGAGCAGGACCTGCATGTGAGGAGTCATCACGTGCGAGCGTCTCGCGATGCCCCACCTGCTTTGTTGCTTGACGCCAGCCGCCATCGAATCATGGCACCGATGGGCGCGAAAATCAGCGACCAAGCCCACAAGCGGCCCGTGGGGTCAGCGGGCTTCGACCCGTTCAGCACGCACACGCACTCCCACAGGGCCAACGCGAGGGCGGGGCCGGCAAACACGACCACGCCGTCAAACTGGCCGTGCGATGCGCCCGATGCTCCCGGGAGGTCTTGGCTCCTGCCGCCTGCGGGGAACGTTGCACTCTCAGGGCACAGCACGGATCAGGTACACCATTGAATCGTTGCGTGACAGGGCGAATTGGAGTAACGAGCAGTCAATGGTGATGCATGTGTCCTCACCTGCAGGTGCCGTCGCGACCGGTCTGACTTCCGGCACGGTCCGAATGCCCGCGCGGTCGCTGGTGGCCGGGAGCAGCTGCGCAATCTTCCTGCCCAGCGCAAGGAACAAATAAGGTGCGCAAACGCCGGCGCCCTGCAACATTTGGGTGCAACACATGCGGTGAACGCGCGACGCAACGCATTGGGCGCCCACTTCAATGTCGGCACACCGACGAGGCGTACGTGTCCGCACGGGAGCTACCTGCGCAAGGAAGACCTCCCCGAGGCCTTCGAGGAAGCTCCATGTGTTTCCGTGGATTGCGATGATCAGGCCGGCCTGCCACGCAGCGAACGTTGTCAGCGAACCGCACAGGCCGATGCGGAGCCCAGTCATCAGCGGCCGCGTTGCGGAATCCGGCAATACTCCGTTTTTGCGGACATGCTGGTTGGCCAGGAGGCCCATGAGGAGGCACCCAAGCAAGTTGGCCGGAAGCCCGATTTCCGCTCCGAAAGTCGGAATGCTAGCAAGCTCTGATACCAGAAGGCGTAGAGCGCATCCGACCTGCGCCATCAACGCGACGTAGACCGCCTCTCTGGCGCACATCCCCACATCAAAGCCGAATTCGTCCTTTGCTGCGGTGTCCAGAGGGCGAGCACCGGCGCTGGCCGCGGAGCTCGCGTGGGCGAGCGCAATGCGGTCGGAGGATCGCGTGTCGAAGACGAATCGCTGTCCCGTCAATCCTGCCGGCCGGCAGCTTCTGGGGCTCCATGTCACCACCGGCCTGGACCCTCGCGTAGCAAAGCGCATTGCTTTGATAGCCGGGTGGGGCAATGTCCTTGGTGCCTCCATCGCCCCAGCTCGTCGACGGGGGCGCCAGCCGGCGAGCGATACCGCGTGCGAGAAGCAGGCTGCCAGGAGGTGCTCTCAGCAACCAGGCTTTCACCCGCGTTCTGAGAGAAGTCGCTTCTGCGGCCCTACTTGTGGGCGGGTGCTGCGGGTGCGTCGCGCAACAGCCGCCGACGTCCCTCACGCGCCTGGGAAGGGACAAGCTCCTGCTAGCCAACTTGTTTCCCGTCCTGTGCGCACGCCCGAAACAAACGCCCCGCCTGGCTCGTTCGGCTTCCGAGACCGTGCACATATGTGCGCGATACGCGCGTCCGGGGCCCCTCTGTGCGCGCCGAACAGCGGCTGCCGGCACGGTCGGACGCTCGCTGCGGCGCACTTCCCTGCGTCCGACGGCGTCGTTCGGCGTTCGCCGCCGCGCGACATGTGCGGCAGCGACTCACGGCTTGGTTCCAGATCGACCAGCACACGAAATCCTGAAGCTCGCGGGAATCGAGCTCGCATTGCCTAAGCCGACCTGCACCACCAGCGCCGACTGCACGAGCAAACTGCAAAGATGCTCGCGGCGGCCACCAGGACGCCTACCGCGCTCGCAGCGCAGTGCATCAGAAAGCCGGCCCCCGTGGCTCGCTGGTTGGGCTTCTCCGGCAGTGCGGCGGTCCCGTGCGGTCCGGAGCTGAGCACCGCGCTGCGTCTGCAGACGGCGTCGCCTGCCGCGACCTTCAGGGCCGCGATGCTCGTGCGATCTGCGGCGTCGTCCGAGGGTGCGTCCGTCTGACGCGCATCGTCCCCGCAAACGGCCGTTCCAACCAACGCAGATGGATGAGGCAGGGCTAGCCGACGAGCCGCGTGTCGTGACCAGCAGGGCCGCTCCAGCGCCGCGATGGCTCCAGACTGCGGTAGCCGGTCCCGCAAGACCATCGACCCGTCATCTCTGTCCCGCAGTCGCCGCGGAGCCGGTGGAGCAGTTCTTGGACATCAGGGTGGGGAAGATCATCGAGGTCGCGGAGCACCCCGATGCTGACTCCCTCTACGTCGAGAAGATCGACCTTGGGGAGGAGGACGGGCCGCGGACCATCGTCTCTGGGCTGAAGGAGTTTGTGGCGCAGGAGGACCTCAAGGTGCGACCCTCAAGGGGCGGGGCGAGTGCCGGCTCGCGAGCGTCGCCGTCGCGGGACAGGTGGTCGCGAGCTTCGCACGCCAGCTTCTCGCGCGTGTGCGTCCTCAGCGGCGTGAGGCGGTGTGCCCGTCGTCATGTGCGCAGGACCGCATGGTCATCGTGCTCGCGAACCTCAAGGCGCGCAACATGCGCGGGATCAAGTCGCACGGCATGGTCCTCTGCGCATCAAACGACGCCCACGACCAGGTCGAGCCTCTGCTGCCGCCGGCCGAGGCGGCGATTGGCGAGCGGTGCTGGTTTGGCGAGGCCGCCGAGCAGGAGGAGCCGGCGAAAGAAAACCGCGTACAGGTGCGCTTTCTCGGCAACAAAGATTTCGCCGCCGGCCATGGCTTCCGCTCCGCCGGTTCCCGACCGTCGTGCGCACCGCGGTTGGCTGCAGAAGAAGAAGTACTGGGAGACCGTCCAGCCCGACCTGAAGACGTCCGGCGAGTGCGTCGCTACTTACAAGGGGGAGACGATGATGACGTCGGCGGGTGCAGTGAAGGCTCCGTCGCTGAGCTCAGCGTCCATTTCGTGATGACCCGCTGCCCGCACCCATGTGACGCGCGCTGGTGGCTCGCAACGTCCCCGTATCAAGCGCGTCTCGCATGCAGCGCTCGAGCAGGGCGAGGCTCGCAGTATTGCGCCGGTTGCTCCGTTGCCGGCTATCCGTTCCGGGGTCAGGCCACTGAGGTCCAGGACGACCGGTCGGGGCACTCCGCCGACCAGCCACGTACGGTGCCACGCCCCGGTGCGCACGAACTGAATGGATTATCCAGCATCGTACAAGAGGCAGATTCCGTGCCTCTGCCCCACGCGTGCTCTCGTGCAAGCGGCTTCCAGCGCAGCCTCGAACTTTGTGCCGTCACCATGCTCGCTTCGCTGCCCTCGAGAACCGTGAAGAAGAGTTTTGCCGGAGCGACGACGGGCCCGAGGCGCGCGCGTCCGCTGAGTGTCGCCGTGATGGCGCAGAAGGTCCGTGGCCGAGTTGCATGGCCCTTGGACACGCGATGAGAGCTGTTCGCTACCAGTGCGATGACGAATTCAGCTATGTCATTTTGCAAGGGGGCCATCGCGTCCATTTGACGGCTCATCCAAGGCGCTGAACGGTCGCCATCGGCCCCATCAGGTTGCCGTGGCGGCCAGTCGACGCATCGATGGCCGATGAAGCCGTGAGCGCAATCGAGGGATGACACAAACACCGACATAAACCGTTTCGTGCTGTGTGTGCCCGTGGTCCTGACTGCAGAGCCAGGACGAGCTGAAGAAGGAGGCTGCCTGGAAGGCGGTCGAGTACGTGAAGTCGGGTAAGCTCGATCCATACGCGTCTGCGTGTTGCGTAGCTGCCATACAGCTGCTCCGTTTCAGAACGGCCCCGCCGACAGCGGCGGGATGCGAGCGACGCCCAGTGCATCTCTTGCTGTTCGGTGATTGATTGCGGCCCTCGTGCTCGCGAGTGCCACGGCCAATGAGTCTCCATCGCTGGTGTATTGCAGGCATGGTCGTCGGCCTTGGCACCGGCTCGACGGCCGCGTTCGCCGTGGACCGCATCGGCGAGCTGCTCAAGAGCGGCGAGCTGACCGACATCGTCGGCGTGCCCACCTCCATCCGGACGTACGAGCAGGTCCGTCACCGCCCGGGATGCGGCACGTTGGCCGCAGGTTGGCGTACCCAGGCAGCTCGCGAGACACCTGCCGTACGTGCAAATGACTTGCAGGCCAAGTCTCTCGGCATCCCGCTGGCGACCCTGGACGAGCAGCCGAAGCTCGACGTCGCGATCGACGGTGCTGACGAGGTGGACCCGAACCTCGACGTCGTCAAGGGCCGTGGGGGTGAGTAATAGTAATGGTGATGGACCTCAAAACTGCGACTCAGAAGTCATGCGCACCGCCTGGACGAACGACAACTGCGCGCACCGCCGTCTGCAGGTGCTCTGCTGCGGGAGAAGATGGTCGAGATGGCGTCCGACAAGTTCGTCTGCATCGTTGATGACTCGAAGCTCGTGTCTGGTCTTGGGGGGTCGAAGCTGGCGATGCCCGTTGAGATCGTCCAGTTCTGCTGGAAGTACAGCCTCAACCGTCTGAAGTCGCTGCCCGAGGTAGGGCCAGGCCTGTCAGCAGGCGTCGTTCACGCCACGACTCACCCGTCGAGATGCCCTACGCTGCGAACACCACGTTCGTCTTTGTCGTCGGTTCTTTCACAACTGACTTGATCTCTGCGATGTTTCCTGCAGGTTGCTGGCTGCGATGCGAAGCTGCGCATGGAGGGGGACAAGCCGTACGTGACGGACAACGGAAACTACATCGTCGACCTGTACTTCGAGAACGAGCCGATCAAGGACCCGAACGCTGCTGCCGATGCGATCCTGGCCTGCGAGGTAAGCCGTGCATTGTGGCGGCGATGAGCGGGACCGCTTGGCGATCGCGCTAGGGCGAGAACGCACTTCTGAACGACCGTGCATTTGTCTGGGTGTGCAGGGCGTCGTGGAGCACGGTCTGTTCATGAACATGGTGAACGTGTGCATCATCGCCGGCAAGGAAGGTGTCGAGGTGAAGGAGAGGTCGTGACCTGGGCGTCGGGACTGGGGAGTCAATGTGACCGAGCCGTCGAGTGCACTTGGTCACCGTCCTTTCCAGAGCAGGTGACGGCGGAGCGTCACGCCCGCTGTACAACAGTCGCGATCACCGACGGCGGGCGCCAGACGCCCCGTGCGGCCGTGCTCTCCAGAGCGATCGAAATCTGCCTTGCATGTTGACCTCCACCTCGCTGGCTGCACGCACGCCGCCCAGCGCCCGCGCAAGAGCCACGACGAATGCCCGACAGTCGTTTGTACCGAGCTTCAGGTTGTCGTCAAACGTCTGCTGACACGTGGTTGCCGTCCGGCGAACATGAGCGATCGCTTCGGATTGACTCTGGCAGCTCGTCTCCACTTCGCAAACTCGCACGCAGCTTTGAGCTCGCGGAACGGACCGAAGCTGCTTGCAGCGGAAATCGCCTGGTACTCTTCCACCCGCCAGCAATGTCACCGCCGTCGATGGGTGTGTTGGTCGTTGAGGCAGGAAGTCATACGCAAGAATCAGCGACAGCCCCCCTGCGTGTTGAGGCCCCACGCCGTGGCACGAGCCGCTTCAACTCGCCAAAGCGGTGTGTGCGCGAAAAACCGTCAGCGTGCGAAGCGAAATATGTCGAGCGCTGCGGCCAGGTGTGCCGGACCTGAGGTCGCCTCCATGGGCTCAGGCCGTGAGATGTCGTCTGCTAGCTCCACGATGAGTACGTAGTGCGACGCATCTCGCGGCCAAAGCTGCGCTGGAACGAAGTCGAAGCCCACGAGGGGCATCCGCCAAAGCCACAAGCGTGCGACCTGCGTGCCCAACAGCACCCGTCGCTGGATCCAGTCGCGCGCAAACTGCGTTGTCCACGGATCGAGCTACGGATCAAGGTGTGACATGTGCTTCGCACCTGCCTTCCGTGCCCGCTTTTCACGCCACCTGCAACAGTCTTCTCTGCACGTGGCGAGGCGCGACGCGCCCGTGGTGCGAGTGCTGATCTTGCGCCCCAACGCACATGTGTCTCCGGTCTTGTCGCGTCCGTTCTGACGCATGGCCGCGCTCTCGTAGCGAGCGTGCGGACCCTCCCAAGCGAGCAAGAGCGCGGCGCTTGCCGCAATGGATCCCAGCGCATCCCGGGCGTGATCAGTCCCGGGGGCGATACAACGCTCGAGACATGCACCGCCATGTCGCCAAACGGTGCTCTCGAGCGGGCAGCAGGCCCTCCGTACCTCGCCAAGCTGACCATGCCACGCGCCAGTCAGGGGTTTGCACTCGCTCACTCCCACCTGGCGCTCTGTGTCACGAGCGGGACGTCGGTCGCGCTCACTTGCGCGTGGCGACAGCGGGGCAGCATTGAGCAACTTCGGGGCGACGAGCATCTTGCCCGAACACCCTGGGCTGCGTGCAAAGCGCGGTTGGTGCCTTCTAGTGAGCACTGGGAAACGCCTGGCGCCGCAGCGCGCGTCGCGCGGCACGAGTTTCGCCAGCAGGATGCTGGATAGTCTGATGGACTGATTGTCAACCTTCGCACATCGCGCGGTGGCGGGTCACCGTGGCCGCAGTGTTCTCGTCTTCTCAGGCAACACGCGCGTGCCATGGAGGCTTCGACGATTCTCGGGCGCCTAGCTGACAGAAATCTTGCAACGAATGCGGTTGCCACCATCGTGGATGATTTCAAAACGGTTTTGAAGGCTCAATGTCGACTGCAGGGCGAGTGGTTGCAACAGGCAAGTCTTTGCTCTTGCGACGCCTCACAGCGGAATCGGATGTCAAACGGGTCGGTAATAACGTGCGAACGGCTGATCCCATGAGCACAGGCAACTGAGCTGTCGTTTGCGAAGGACCAGGCGGCGAAATTGGCAGAGGAACTTGCAACAGCACAAGATGTGACTGCACAGCCCAAGGTGCAGGCGCTTGAGGCGCAAGTGCGGCAGCATGAACGAGACTTGATCACCGCATACAGGCAAGTATCGCAGCATCGCTTGCGCTGTGCGTGCTCGACGAAGTCTTTGGGTAGTCGCGTTCGTACGGGCCAGTTGAGCAATGTCACAATAAGTGGTTTCAGATGTCGACTTGCTCCACCGGGCGATGCACGCAGGGACAAAGGCAAGCTGTCGGAAGAGCTCCTAGCTAGTCGCCAGGAGCTTGCGGCCGCACAGCACGCCCTAGAGGGCCTTCAGAGGGATCTCGTCAACGAGCGGGACAGCAGGAAGGACGCGGAGGTGCAGCTTCAGGAGGCGCTGCAGGTGCCGGGGCCCGTGTCCAATCAGCTGAATTGGAAGCACCGCCGGCCGATGAATACTTTCTTGCTTCATTCCGCCTGCCCAGGCGTGACGTCCGAGTAACAACAACATTTATCCTCACCCCTGCGAAACCGTCGGCGCCGCAGGCATTGGAAAGGGAAAAGCTTGTGGCAGCGACTGCGTCCGGCGAGCTCCAGGCTCGGCAAGCAGAGCGCGAAGCGGCGGTGCTGGAGTGCGAGACACTAAAAGCAGGTCCGCCCTCGCGCAATGTTCCGATCCGGATCGTCACTCAAAAGTCACAACTCCTGCCCCACACGAGGGATGGTTGCGTGGTGGTTGCGTGTTTGTTTCATTTTCATGGCGCCTGAGCAAGCTTGCGGCATGTGCTATATACTGACCCTGCGAAACCGTCAAGCCAGGTTCCAGGCGCCTGCACGTACGCATCCCATGTCCCTGGCGCTCGCAGAGAATCAAGATCTGATCTCAAGGCTGGTTGCAATCAAGGAGGCTGAAGCTGAACGCAGAAACGAGGAGATGCGCATGCACGCCGAGCTCGATCGACGCCGAAGGGAGCTGGAGGTTCTCGAGAAGGCAGCTGCCGTGGATGCTGACAACAGACTTGGAGCGGTGCTCCTTACAGGCGCGCGCATTGGCGAAGATGTCCCTTTTTGCCCTTGATGCGTCACGGTCCCTTGGAGTTCAAGTTTGAAGGAACTCTTTCCGGCAACAACACTGAACATTCTACGCAATCAACACTGCAGGCGCGGACCTTTCTGCGCAAGATTCGGTGCCAGCGCATGCTGTTCTTCGTCTGAACGGCCATGATGGTGGTTGCTTCGGGGCGAGCTTCAACAGTGCGGGTGACCGTCTTGCCACGTGCGGGGCCGACCGCATCGTGAGAACGTGGGAACCTCAGAGCGGTACACAGATGAGTGAACTTCGAGGGCTGACAATGACTGCACTGGGCGTGGCCTACACGGCGGACGATCGCTTTATCTTGGCCTGCAGCCAAGACGGCAGCATCAGGTGACAATTCACGCTGTCGGAGCTCGGCCTCGTGAAACCTGTCTCAGAACCGACCAGCGACGCGCACTGGGCACGGCGTGTTGTTTGTGGCCGCAAACTTTGAAACGAGGCGGCGCTTTCCTTTCTCGCGCAGGGCTTGGGACGTTCGTACATCAAGGGAACGTCACGTACTCACTGGTCACAACCAAAAAGTTGTCTCTGTTCATCCTTTCTACGTTGATGCTTCACGAGCAGTCTCAGCTGGGGCGGATCGGTGCTTGAAGATATGGGACCTCAATCGCGGTTTCTGTACCCAAACTTTGATGAGTCACAGCTCTCCTCAAGGGGCTGTGGCAGATCAGGTCCGAAGCTGTGTCTTGCGTGACGTCCTGATGATGGATCTGCTCCCGAGCAACACGCAGATCCCTGCCTTCCAGTGACGATCTCGCTTGGCTTGCGCGCAGACGGGCTCCATGATCGTCTCCGGGCACTTCAATGGAGCCTTGCGATTCTGGGATTTGCGGTCGGGCAAGGACATCAAAGAGCTCTCCGGGGTGCACGGCAGTGGCGTTGCGATCGCCTCGATCGCGGCCGCATCTTCGGACACAGGTGCGCAGCACTGTCGAGAACAACTGAGCGCACTGTCAACGTTGCTGTTTGGGACGAGCCAGCACGAAGCATTGTCCAAACCAAGATGGACGGTGTCCCTCAAGTTTCTGGAGCTGGTTATCGCACGCAGGCGACGTCATCAGCATCGGGCGAAACAATGCGGCAGCGATCATCGACGTGCGCACGTACGGCGTGCGGCTCCGCCTTCGAAGCGATCATCTGCGCCTCAGCTATGGACCGGTTAGTGGCTGCTTCAGCCCGGACGGTCGCTACGTGGCGGTCGGTTCATCTTCAGGGCAGGTGCGAACATCGAGGCTGCATGAACGAACTGATACGTGTCCACGAGGACGACTAGCTGCGGCGTGGACAAGCTTCATTCATTCCCACATTCGCCTCTCTAGACCTAGTCTGGTCTGTCTAGACCTAGCCACTGCTGCGTGGTCCGAGGCCGTTCATGCCTGTCTGCTTTCGCTCCCCATCGACGTTATGAAGGGTGGTTGGCGACTCACAAGTTGCTTGCAGACCGTGACGTGGCGAAGCAGCGACGGTGTAGTTGAGAAGGTGTTGCACGGCACCCAGGATCTCAATCACTCAAGCCAGGTGCAGTGCGTCGCGTGGGGGGCCGGTGGACACATCGTGACCGGCGAAAAGAATGGCCCCGCAATCATCTGGTCCTCTTGACTTCGCTGCACGTGCGCCTCATGCGGTAGTCCTGACACCCGCTTGTTTCCGTCGGCACCGGTGCCTGGTCCTTTTGCGCGCACAGCGGCTAGTTGAAAGCTCGAGGTGAGGTGTTACATTGTTCGCGTCGTCAGCCATAAGGGATCCTTCGGGACCTGAAAAGATCATTCGACTAGGTGGCGAGTCATGTCAATCCCCCACTGTTGTGGTAGCGACATGTTCGACATGGAGCGGATCCTTGATTCCACGAGCGAGGATCGCCATGCCTCGACAGGTTCAGAAGATAACGCAGAGCAGCGTTCCTTGTCGGTGATGCGCAGATATGTTGCCGTCTGCAGAAGTATAGATGAGTTTCTGAGGTTCCTGATGAGCCTGCTTTAGTTGGGCACAGATTCCTACGGGCTGACGCTTCGCGCGAATTCGCATGCAGACCGTCGAACAACGCGGGACTTCCACCTCACAGACTACCATCTTGATCGAACGTTCTTTTCGCGTCGAACATGTTTGGTTTCGAAAGGTCGGGCTGAAGAACTTGTCGACCACGATTCAAAATTCGCAGCAGCGCTTGCTCTGAAGTTTGATTCGCCCTCAGCACTGTCTGAAGGCGCGGCACTTCGACTCCCTCGCCTGCGGACATGTGAACATCGGCACCAAACACTTTCTAGAGGCAAACGTAGCGGGCCGACGGAGCACGGCCCCGAGACAGCGACGCGTGACGATGCACACCTGTCAACCCCAGTGATCCGCCGTCGTCGTCCCTAGCGTACCGGAGAACGCGGATTGGGGGAGGCACCCAGATGCCTTCTCCTTCCAGGACGCTTTCAACGCAGATGGACAGCTCTGTGAGAGCCTTCACTCTGGTCGAGCCCCCTGTGGACGGGGAAGCGATTGGGCCCACGAGGCAAAGAATCGAGATCTCGAGACCTGCGGAACGGCCACAAAAGGGTGCGTAATATTGCTCCAGACTGGCCGGGTCTACCGCCATGATTTCTCACGACATCAGCGCGTGGCAGCTTTACCTTCAGGCAGAATTCTGTTCACCCACACTCTCGGTTTGTGGTAGGGATTCCGAATGGCACCTGCGATGTTTTGAAGAGGCGAAAAAGTGCCCCCAGTTCAGGCGCGATGAGAGAAGCAGCTCCCGAACGATATGTTTCTGATCGTAAGGCAGCATCACGTACCAGGAAAGTAAGTGAAACGATCGAAGTGATCGACGACACTGATGTCTTTGAGAGCTCGCTTCAATTTCTTGACGAGCCGTCGCGTAACTTCTGGAGATCGATTCGGAACCACGAAATCCACTGAGGCTACTCTGCGAGCATCAAGAGGGTCGCATGCATGGATCGCTGTCGGCGACTCCGCCTTGATTGATTCCGCAAGCAGCCCGACTGTCTCCACACCCAGGCGAAAGCAAAGCAAGGAGGCGGAGCACATTCCCGGAGCGGGCCAACTTGCCTGTGGGATCTTCGGGACAGGTTTTTGATGGAGTTTCGAGTCAGAGTTGAGTTCGGCACAGTCACCAAGGCCGTGTCCCCTGTGAGTCTGATATAAGTCGTGAACCAGCCAATGTCCATCACGAGGCCCATGATGGCCTCCTCCTGGGGCCCACCCTGCAGGTTGTTTCGCATGGCCACAAGGGCGCTCGTAAGCGTCTTCGCCATCCGACGCCGCTGGGGACCACAAGAAAATGCGCGAACGAAAGTGACACAGCTGCAAATCGCCGAAGGCTGTGCGCGTACCGCGATGACATCGCCCACGTTGAACGGTCGCTTGGTCAGGAGGATGACTCCACTGATGAGGTTCTCAATGAGATCGCGTGACGCCAGAGAAAGAGCCAAACCACCGACGGACGCAAGACCGATTGCCCCGGCTCGCAGCCCGAGAGCCCCCATGCACGCCGCGACTCCGAAAATGATTATGCCGATCGACAGAAGCTTGTCGATCACGACAGATTCCGCTGCAAAAAACGCGCGCAATAGAGATCACGTCGTCACCACAGCAAGTGCTCGCGATAAACAGGCTGCGCTGGCGTTGCTGCATCATTCGTCAGAAACCCCAGCCCCCGCTCACCATGCGTGATGCCTGCACTGTACTGGATGCTGGCAAACCATCTGTCTTTGAGCTGCAGCACGGTTGTCGCCAACCAAGCAGAATACACCGCCCCGTCGAAGCCATTGATGATGGTCGAGTCAAGCGGAATCGCCATGCCCATGCCGCGCATTGTGAGAACTGCATCGCAGAGTGCACCAACCTGGCTGCGCCTGGTCCAGCTGATCATGTGTGCTCGAGCAAGGTTACGGAGAGCGCAGGCACGAGCAAAGAGACAGACGGCAAATCGCTCCGAAGATTTGATTTGGGCGCGTCCACAGCCCAGCTGTAGCGCACATTTCGCTGTCCGGCGGGAAGTCGCGCGGATGCCGGGGGTCGAAGGGTTTGAGAACCGCACCTATGTTGTCGTACAGATACAGCAGGATGAAGACCCAACCGAGCGACGTCATCGGCTGACAAAGAGAGCCGAGAAACGAGTCCTTGAAAGAGTCGTCCATGTATGGTTCGCACGACCGGATGATGTTGCACTTCAAAACGCGCCAGACTTTGTGGATGCTTTTCAGTATGGCTTTGTGCGTCAGCAGCCACACCACTGGGAACCAGATATCTGCTGGTTGCCAAGGGTTGTTCATCATGGTCACCATTCCGATGATGAGGTTCTGGATCGAGCTGAGCGTGGACTCGATGAGAGAGAGCATGATGCCCTGGAAGCGGTCGTATGACCTGTGGGGCAGAGGCGCAATTTATTTCTTTATTTTCCAGGTCGCACATGCAACCAACCATGATCATGCACAGCAAAGAAGAAGAAGAAGAGTGCACGGGCGCAGCAGACGCAGTGAGCGCCGTCCGCTTTGATCCGATGAGTCGACCTCGCGAGCAATGAGCAATGCGGGTAGCCCACCTCGTCACGAATGATACCACGAACGGCAGCTTGGCTTCAACGACCTGCGTTGCACAGTGCCAGGATGTGGTGTTGTCGCTCGACGAGCAGCGTGATCTCCACTTGCGCGCGACGTTCCGCTCCCTGCGCTCGCCGTGGGGCGCTCGCAAGCGCTCGCGCGATGTATCACGACTCATGCGTCTCGACACCACGGCGCAAGAAGCATGCGCACCGAGAAGAAGCCACCAGGGCCGCTGGCTGCCGAGCAGCGGACACGTTTCCGCGCACCACCGCCTGCTGGCGCCACAGTCCGAGCTCCTGGACCAAACCCATCGTGCTTTGGAGGCGCCGAAACCCCTGGGAGCCGAGAATGCATCGAGCTGTTGGCAGGCAGCGATTCGGCAGCGACTCCCTGCCCTCGGCCGCCGGGCCGACTTGTGCGCACTCCGAAGCGATGCTTCTCTCTCGATCGGATTCTACCGTGCGACGAGACGCCTAGTGGTCGCGGGGTCGCCGCTGCGCTGGCTCCGACCTTCATCAGCTGCATCACGCCCCGCTCCAACTCCCGCAAGGCGGGGAATAGCTACGAGACGACCGCAGCGTGGTGCAACGAGAGAATGCTGCGAGGTCACGGCAATCTCCGACGGCTTGCGAGCCCCCGGAGGCTACAGTGCCTCGCACGGTTGAAAACGAAGGCAGTGCCGACAGGTGCTCGTTCGCCTGACGCCCAATGTGCGTGAGCGCTCGGTCTAGGCGGTCGCTGCAGGTCTCTCTTTACAGCCATCGACTGCTCAATGCTCCCTGGGACGGCTGAGCCTTGAGCAGAGGATGTGCCTGGCAGGTAGTACCAACACATGGTCCTCCGAGGAGTTTCACGGGGCGAACAGTTCCACGGCTCCTGGGCACATGGCGCACGGCAACCACGTCCACAGAGCATCGCCGAACACCCCATTCGTAGATTGACGACCTGTCGGGGGCTCCGCGGCGGAGGTGCGCTTCTTTCCATGCACGCGCCAAAGCTTTAGGGTTCTCCGTGAACAAACGGGCCACCCGGTTTGGCTGCGGCCGGGCGACGCCGCTGTCAGAGCATCAGTCATTGCTCACGACAGGCCTGGAACCCCCAGTGCGCCTGCGAAGGACGTCCGACCGTCCGGATCCACGGCCAACAGGCCGCGCGGCCCAGCTCCGGCGGTCAGCATGGATCCGCTTGAGCCCACACCGCAGCTGACCCCGCAACTTCTCCACAAGCTGTGCAAGAAGGTGCGGGACTCGGTGGCCTCGGACCCCAGCTGATGCACGGCATGGAGTTGCATGCAACCATTGCGCTCGTCTACACGTGGAAGCGCTGCGCCGGCCAGGGGACGGTCCCCGCGATGTCGACCTCGCAATACGACAGCATCTTGTCTCGTCACGGCGCAAGGCGCACCGTGCTGCCTTGGAAGTGACGCGCAGGTCGCTCAACTCACCAAGGTCGTGTACGATCTGCACACAAGTGCCGAGGATCACGAGCACGAGATTCAGTGGCTTCAAGAGCGCAATGCTACCGAGTCGCGTCAGGCGCAGGCCGGTGCTCTCGAGCAGCTCGCCCGGATGCAGGTACGAAGCGTCGCACATCTCTCCCTCCGTCCCTGCCTCCCAGGGATGTGCACTGGGACGTGTGGACAGAACGGCCGCTGCGCCCCCATGACCGTCGGTTGATCGCCAGCGATGCATTCGTGCGTTGCAGGAGGACCTTGCACGCGCGATCGATGACTCACAGGCATTGAAAGTTGCAGAGCAGCTTCGCGCGGCGTACGATGAACGGAGCGCTGCTACGCGTGCGCGCGTCGATGTGCTTGAGGAGCAGCTGAAGGAACGCGAGGATGCGATGCATCACCAGGCCGCTGGTCGCACGGCAGAGATGGAGGTACGCGCTGGGAGAAGTTCGAAATCTTGCGAAGCGCCGCTCTCCTGCGTCGCTCGCAGCGGTTCCGTCACGAGCAGCGTATGGATCGTGATCGTCGCTGCGTGAGGAGGCGTGCTCGTCGCCCCCGCCGCCATGCAGGAGCGCGTTGCGGGCCTGCAGTCCCGACTTGAAGCTGCCGTCGAATCCGTCGAGCAGTCGCGTGCCGAACAGGAGCGGATCCGCTGTGCGTTCGACGGCCTGCACGATCAGCTACGGACCAAGACGGCAGGTGAAGTGCTTGCTTCGCGAGTGGCACCCGCGCAGCCCCTCTCACAACCCGCACCTTCTTCCTCGCCGCATCCTCGACGCACCGAGTGGAGGCGATATATTCACACGGCCCCGTCGCAAGGCAGGCCTCGCGGAACTGACGGACTTGCTCCAGCTGCTTCCTGCAGAACTTCGACAGGAACAAGGGCGCTGCGAAGACCTTGAGGGGCGTCTGAGGGACTCGGATGCGGCCTTGGATGAGTGCCGGCGACAGGAAGCTCTGCTGAATGACGGCCTGCGACGTTTGCAGGCCGATCTTGAAAGGCGAGTTGGGGCTGCTAGCAGGCAGATCTGTGTTCGAAGCCGAATGCCAGCGATGCCCCGCAGATCGATCGTCCTTCGCCTTTCTCGCCGCCCACAGGACCCAGCAGGACCTCGCGGGCCAGGAAGTTAGGGCCGGGGAGGCAGAAGTGGTGCTGGACATGGAGCGGCAGAGGATGAGGAACGAACGAGCGACGTTCGAGAGCGCCTTGCACGAAGTCAGGGAAACCACATCAGCACAGCTGCGCACACTTCAGGAGGAGCATACCGCAGCGACGACGTTGTCGGAGCGTGTCATTGAAGAGCTGCGAAGTGAATCAGGTGGACACGACCTTGCACGATTGCGGCCATGACAGAGCATCGTGGATCCGGCAACACAGCTGACGACGGCCGCTGGAACCTCTGGTCCCCGCAGGCGCACTGAGGCGGCGGAACGAGCAACTCGAGAAGGAGCTCTTGGAGATGCAGGGAAAGTACTCAGAGTGCGACAGGCGGGCCAGCATCGCTGAGCGGGAACGCGACGAGGCCCGGTCAAGGCTGAACGAGCGCACGGAAGAGGTAAAGCGGGCGACCAGCGAACACCTCAGGGCGAAGGATGACGGCGGCGTCCTGTCGCGAAAGGTGCGTCCGCGACACAGCGTGCAGGTCTCCGACACGCATCTTCTTGCAGGACTTCGTGACGTGATGGTTCTGCCTCACCGCTGTCCACCATGGGGCCCACCAGTCGCCACGTGCGGCCCTCCTGGTGCCACACTGTCCACAGCTCAACACCTCGTGCGCTGCAGGTCGCCGACGTCGAGCGAAGCCTGGCAGATACAACCGAGCAACTGGCGGCAACGAAGGCCCGCTGTGCCAGTCTGGAGGCGGAGATCGCGGAACACGCGACCCATCACACGGATGTTCAAAAGGCAGCCGCAAGCGAAACGCAGAAACTTCGCCAAGACCTGCAAGAAGCGCTGCGTGCCCACGCAGAAACCCGAGAGCAGCTCCGCGCTGCCGAGAAGGTGGTAGAGGAGCAGGCTGCCCAGCTGGGCGAGTTGGATGACATCAAAATGCGCGCAGAGAGCTTGCAAGACGAGGTGCGAGCTCGCTTGCGTACTGCACTGCGGAAGCACGGGCACAGTCAGACACGCCGCGAGCTGCCAGCACGTGCGTTTACGCGGCGTGCATGACGTTTCTCATGCAGTGCGCTGGACGCGTGCGGGAGGTTGCGCTCCTGGCATCTCAACTGCAAGATGCCCGAGAGCACGCGAAGGCCATGGAAGCAGCCTCTCATACCATGAGAACTGGAATCGACGCCGAAGTCGCAGGTGAGGAGACGAGAGCCTCTCGTTGCCAATGTTGGCCCCACCTTATGCATGAGCGCAACTTGCACCTGCTCCGCGTGCCCACAACGGCCCTGCCTAGATAATCGCAGAGCTACGCGGCAGGCATCAAGCCGAGATGGCCGCGAAGGACGCCGAGGCCGCGCAACTCCACGACACGATCAGCAGATTGAAGGCAGACGTTTGCGACCTTCAGGCACACGCCAAGGCGGAGGGTGACGAGGCACAGGCACTGCATGCAGCGAGAATCGCAAGGATACAAGCTGAGCACGAAGACGCGCTTCGAAAGCTTCAGGTGTCGAACGAGGTATGTGCCAGACCAAGGCGACACAGCCACCATTTTGCACCTCCTTCGTGTGATTGCAGGGCCGGTGGTGGTCTCAGCGCAGCCCGCGCCGGGGCTCGACGCGCCACCTGCGGTCACACCCCCCAAGCAGGCATGAAGTCAGATCACGCGATGCTTGCCCAACCTTCTCCGCACAAGAGACATCGCGCCGCCACGTCAACCCGCGCAGAGCATGGCAACGGAGCTTCGGGCCAGAGAAAGTGAAGCTGCGCGCATCGCTGGCGAGTTGACGACGAGCGACCAGAGGTGTTCCGAGTTGTCCTCGATGCTGCGAGAGAGCGAAGAATCGCGAGCGGGTTTGCAGCGCGCGCTCGACGCGTCCACCGGCGAGCTGAGCCAGATGCGAGCTCAAGTCGATAGCCTGACCGAGACTGTCAAGCGACTGCGAGCTGACCTCGACCTGGTGAAGTCAGCCGGTGCGCCTGTCGCGACGCCCGGCCGCAACCTCCCCGTGCTGGTGCAGCTCAAGCTCCCGGCCGTGCACGGTGTATTCCCATGGCTCTTGACGCTCCTGGGACCCGCCCGCCGTGTCGCAGGTAGCGAGCAGGACCAGTTGGTGCAGAAGCTGCTCAATGAAAGAGATTCCGCGGCGGCGACGGCCGAGGCAAGCCGCAGCGCTCTGCGGTCCTTGGAGGCCGAGCACGCGAAGGAGATGGAGCAACTCAAAAATCGCGAGCAGGCGTTGCTCGATCGTTTGCGGTGCGCCCCCCTTAGGGGGACTCCCAAGGTGCACACTGAACCCTACTCGCAGCGGGAGATCGGGTCAACCGAAGCCGTCGCGAGATGGTCGATGCTGTCCGCAGGTCAAAGGAGAGCGAGTTCCAAGCCAGCAGCGCGCAACTTTCGCTGAACATCACGACTTTGAAGGAGCAGAACGTTGTGCTGGAGGACAGGGTCTCGACGATGGCCGAGGACTTGCGTCGGGAAGTCAACCGGAGCGAGGAAGTGACGGAACGCTTCGAACTACATCGGAAGGTGATCGTTGTCGGCGCGTTTTGCTGTTGTTCTCGCCGTCATGTTATGCTCATGGTTTCAACGTGATACGGGCAGGGGTATTTCGCAGGAGACGGAAGCAAGCGTCGCGTCACTGGAGTCGCAGCTCAAAGGGGCTCGACTCGAGGCAGAGGCGGCGAGTTCTCGCGTTCGAGTGCTTGAAGAGGAAGCCAAAGTGAGTTGCGCCTGCCAACAGTTCCGCGACTTTCGCTGGCGAGCAAGGAGCGAACGTCCCGCTACCTGATTCTAGGCACGTTGCCGAGCGAAGCGACTGCATATAGAATGCGCAGGTCCTTGGAGAGAGGACCCGACGTGCGGAGAGAGCGTTGCATGATGTGCAAGGACAGGTCAACGACGTTCTGTCGCGTGCCCAGAAAGCGGAGCAACGCGTGGCGACGCTCGAGCACGACGGTCTCGTCAAGGACCGAGCGTTGAACGACGCGACGGAGGTGCATCGCAAGCTGCAAGCGGCTCTGGATGCTGCAGCTCAGGTTTGTTTGCATGCCACAACCCTACCCTATTCGTGCTGTTTCCCTCAAGGGGTGTGCCATGAAGTACCGCGACACAGAGTGTCGTGTTTGCGCCGTCGCAGGCTATCGAGTCTCAGTCGGCTGATTCTAACAGGAAATCAGAGGCGCATGAAACAGCGTTGCGCGACATGACGAATCAGATCCGCGAGCTGAGACACGCTGTTTCTGCAAGTGAGGCCCGTGTCGAGGACGTGGAATCCAGGAGCCAGGCAGTGGAACAGAACCTGCGGCGAATCATCACCGACCTTGAAATCGAGAGGTGACCGCCCGGGCTCGGGGCGTTGAGCCACCAGCTGCGCCTCTGCTTGTCGGACATGTCTCGGTGTCAAGCGAAACGTATTCCCTAGTAGAAAAGAGAACGGATAGGGGAGGGTTGTGTCATGCACAAGCACCTGAGCAGCCGCATCCAGAGCCGCTTGCAACTTGCGATGCACCTCCGTTGCGAGACGTGGTCGGTGCTCGTTGCCTCGAGCAGGGATCGACTCGCCCAGGAGGTGGAAGCCCGACCGGCGCGTGAACAGGACGTCGCGGCGATCGAGCATCTGACGACCGAGCTGCGGGGCAAAAACAGACTGCTGAGTGATCTGGAGCGGCAGGTAGCAGAGCTGAAGGCGGAGCTGCAGAACCGCGAGGAGAACTACAACATGAGGTTTGCCAATGGCGGTGCTGGTATCAATCTGCGCCCCGCCCAGCCGACACGTGCGGCATCTGGCGCCGCGGCGGGTCAGGAAGTTCTCGACTGGATCAAGGGCTCCGCGCAGCCATCCCGGAGAAATCTCGCGGCAGGTGCGCCCAGCAACACAACACTGTCCTGCTCGTCCTGAGCGACGCGCTCCCCCCGACTCGGCCGACTCACCCAGGCGATTTTCGACTCGCTGCAGGGAGGCAAGCCCCACCCGCGCGCATGAACAGTCGCAACAAACACTGACGCTGTCAGACGGCAGCTCGGGTGTGCCTGGAACGGAAATGTGAGCCCGCTTCGGTCACCTCGCGCTGGCTCGCAGTCGCCCATCAGTCCATGTGCGGAGGAGCGCGGGCCATGCTCTTCGCGCGCGGCCATCACCACGCACCACGCCGTGCTGGCAGCGGCTTGTTTCATCAACATGGCAGCAGATGTCATATCCTCAGCTACGCAGGCGTTGATGCTTGACCCGCGATCTGCACTCCCGTCGAGAGCGCCGGAGGGGGCTGCCGCGTGCCCACCGGTTATTGGCTACGCTACGATTGCGCTCGTGCGCCAAGGACTTCCCATGCGAAACATACGGACACACACAGTGTGCTCCAAGACTGCGCAAGAATGCGCTACGGACCTGTGCACGTTCCCGAGGTGGGGCAGTGCGTGGCGTCCAACAGTCGCGCCTCGTGGGACCCAGGCGCGGAGGGTTCAGTGGACCGCTGCACTTGGGCTTGAGCTCTGCGCGCCAGCCCAGGGTCGCCGCCGGAGGCACTAGATGCGCATCACATGTGGCACTTGGCCAGAAAGCACGAGGAATCCTGACATATGTCGCCAGGTCACTAGGCAGCGTAGTTCAGGGGCCTCCTGCACACAGCGTGGAGGATTCACGTCTCCAGGTGAGACGCAAGAGCGGGGGAGGCGGCTCGCGAGGCACAGACAGAGGGGAACGGCCGGCCGAAACAGCTGACAATCTGGCCCGGGGTTGTCCAGACAGCGGAACGCCAGAACGAGGGCAGGCGGGCATCGGGAAGCACCTGAAGAGCATGATGTGGGGCTCCGGCCGGTGAATGGCGTAATGAACCCACCCCCGCGACTGCTGCACGCCCAGGCCTCGCCACTCGGACTGCGTGCGCGAGAGCGAAGGCGGGAAATTCAGCCGTGCGGCCGCAGGCGAGAGAACGGCCGCCCCCGCGCCAACAGCGTTGTTGCGCTGGAGCCTTGCGGCCGCGCGGTGCTGCAGCTGGGCAGTGCGGGGCCTCACCTCCGAGAGCAACCTTCCTTTCGGTAGCAGCTTGGCGATGTCCGACGGTAACACGACGTGCCTGCGTCGCACGTGCCGAGGGACCGCGTTGATGGGCCAGCAGAGAAGACAGCTCCCGCAGTTTCATATACTGAGCGCGCTGGGTGCGAACTGCGCATGCTCATCGCTTTGTGAACAGAATTGCGCCGAGAATCGCGGCGAGGGAGCGCGCCGGTCCCCGGACGCACTTGGTCGGGGGACCAGCTGGTGGGGCTCGCCGCACCTGTACTCGAACTCGTCGTCGAAGTATTTCTCCGAATACTGGATCTGTCCCGGCATCTTTGCACACTCAGCTCGCCAAGCCTCGAGCGCGCGAAACACGAAGTGAGGGCTCGGCGCCCCCGCGCGGCGCATTGGTGAGCTGCAGCCCATGGCCTGCCTGTCAGACGGTCCGAAACGCGGTATAACTCTGCGAATGGACCCGCACGCAGCCCCACTGGTCATCTCCGCGGCCGCGTCGTCAGGCTGTGCCTTTTGCACGGGTCGTGCACCCCACCGTCGCGCGAGGAGCGTTGCTCACAGCCCGGGCATCAAAAGACCGCACAAAGGTTCGGCTGCGCCTCCCGGTGCACGACACTGGCCCCTCAGTCGACGTGCTGGACGGCGCCCGCCCTCAGAAACATGGCGTTCATCGCCGCCCGCTGCAGCTCGAACGTCAGGATGTTCGTACCAGTGCAGAACTCCTGATACGCTTTGCGCAGCGTGTCCGCGACCTGCTTGGCACGAATTCGAAGGAGGACAGACAGGATGACACGGCGACGTGCGAGGATGCTCGCGTGCACAGCAGGCGGCCGCGGCCGACGCCCCCACCTGCGACCTGCTGCTTGTCCCTGACAGGCCCTGGAGCTCGCGGTCCTCGTCCGTCAGCGCACTCAGGTGCAGCAGGGAGTCCCGCAACGACTGGATGCACGCGGTGCAATCTTCAGATTGCCACCGCTCCGTGATCGCTGCGAAGAAGTCGACGTCTAGGCGCGCCTGGAAGTACCCGTACATGCTCAAACACGCCTCCTGCCCGTTGGAGGCTCCAAAGCTGCGTAAGCCAAGGAGGGTGATTGGCCTTGCGTCGTGCAGTCCGCCGATCGCGCACCGCACGGCATCATGGGCTGTGCGGACGACCCGCAAGTCGCAGCACTTTAAGGTCACTCACCTTGCCGTGCAACGGTTCAACGTGTGCACGAAAGCGGCTTCAACCAACTGACCAACAGCCTCCTCGACCGCTCGCGCTTCGTTCGCGAGCGGTCCTTCCGCCAGCTCCCGCGAGAATGCGCTGAGCAGTGCGAGCAAGATCATCATCTCCGCAGTGACGCCCTTCGGAGCCGCGCCTGGACCGGAAAGGGCTGTCCGCGGCTCTTCGTGCCCGTCTGTGTTCTGACCTGGCTCCATGGTCTGCAGCGTAGCTCAGGGAGGTGCGGCGGTGTGACGGTGGGGCTTGCTGTGATGTGGGAGGCACATCCATGGCGGCGCCAACCGACAAAACACTGCGGCAGCCTTTCTCATGCTCGTCCGGCGTTGTTTTGGGCGCACCCGGCGGATATTCAGCGCAGAAAGCCAAGCGTCCAGCGTGCAGAACATTTGAATAGATCTTGCACTCAGATACACTTCACGGAGCAGGAACAGCGTGTCCCTCGCTTTGCCCTCCACTGCCTGCTGCTCACGTCGGATGGACTCGTTCGCGTCCTCGCCCTGGTGCTCGCTCCCGCCCTGGAGGGCACACAGGAGGGGCTGCATTGCCTTGACTGTGACATGCACTTTTATCAGGCTCTTGGCCGCTCGCATCGCCCGCCGAGCCATCTCTTCGCCTTGTGAGGCTGCATTAGTGCCCGCGAGTCGGTCGGCCTCCTGGGACGCCGCGCCCTCTGTGGGGAATGTAGCTTGTTCAAGAGCGTCGAGCTGCTGGGCACAAGTTGTCGCCATGTCATGGTGCTGAGCGATGCCACGAGCGAAACCGCTCATGACCGCGTTCGCCAGCTCCGACATTGGCATGTTCGGCCCTGCAGATCGGCTGCCTCGTCTCGCATGCTGCGCCAACCTGTTGGCAGTGGAAGTTGTGCACCACAAGAGCCCCATCAGGTCGTCGACGGCGGCCGTATGGCCACCGACCTCGATCTCGGCACGAGCCCCGCCGCTATTGCTCGCCCTGTACAGCTGCGCTTTCAGTCTCTCCGCGATTGGCGGCAGTGCGCGTGCGATCTCCGTGCTGAGTGTATGGGAGACGCGCGAGATGGCACCCTCGTACACCGCATCCAGGTGCGCCGGAGGCAGGGAGGGCACGTGCTCGCCCAGAAAGGCCGAGACCGACGCGATATGCTGGAAGACGCGCTCGATGGCGGCCACGCACGTGTTGGAGCCATGCAGCCCGTTGGGGTCCCAGCCATCCGGGGGAGGTCGCAGCAGCACGTCTCCGAGCCGCGCCAACAGGCCATCGACAGCCGACAACGTCAGGTCCTTGTACGCGCGCGTAACGTCGTTGATGCACTGCTGCACCAGCACAGCCGGGTCGCTCGCAGGGACGGAAATGTCAGTCGACTGCGACAGGAGACTAGCCTGCCGGGTCAGAGTACGCGGCGGACCAGATCCTGCGGGAACATCTGCCAAAATTGTCGTGCTACGATTCCGCCGATGACCCTGTCCGGCAGCAGGGGGCTGTGCGGGCGCCGGGGCCTGCGTGACCCACATCATCAGGAGCTGAATCTGCCGGCTTGTGGCGACCTCGATGAATGCGGGGAGCCTGCACGGAGGCACGCAGTGATATTTTGAGCCCGGGATAGCCCCCGGCCCCCGGGACAGGCGAGAGCGACCGCGCAGCGTGCTCCATCGCCTCGCTGGCCGGCCTCACCTGCGGGCGATCACTTTGGACCCGTCGAGGACCATTTTGACGAATCTTGCCTCTCCAATCTCTCCCTCAGATCCGGTGAGTCCCCGACGTGCGCAACTTCCGCCCGAGTCCACGACCTCCCAATCGAGTTCTTCCGCCCCTGCTGTCAGCGCGTCTCGTTCCCACGTGCGCGCATTCTCCTCGCACTTCTCCAGCTCCTTTGATATCGCCGCTCCCTGGTTCCGTAGAAACAAGCCCAGCGGATCGGCCCAGCTGCCATCCAGCAGCTCCGGGTCCTCCTCGCGAAGACGAGATAGCGTTGGGATGATTGCTGCTGCCTGCTCCAGTCCGCCCGCGGGGTGTTCCAGCCGGGTGGCCAACTGCCGTGCCATTTGTCGGAGAGACTTACGACACTCCTGCACGACGCAGAACACGCAGGTGGCGTCTCGCACCGGCCGGTTCTCGGGCAGAACAACAACTCGACTGGCTCCTCGCACCTCCAGCAGGGCATGGAAAACTCGAACCCTCGTGGGGAGGATCAGTTTCCTCGCACGCGAGTACTCCTGCAGCGCTGCCTGATACTCTCCTGCGGACCAGAGCTCTTGCACGCGACCTACGAGGGAAAAGATCGCATCAAAGCGCTCCAGGAGCCCCAGGACCCTGCGAGGCGCACGCACACAAACGACGTTGTTGCGCCGACCATGTCGTCCTGACTCATCGGCAACGCGTATCGTCATAGGCGGGATGCCCACCTCCGGATTCGTTCAGCATGGCGCTGCCTGTCAACAAGAGGGCTGAACGCCTGAGAAGATTCTTTCTCGGCCCTCATGACCGCCTGAAGCACGCCGCTCATGGACATGCTGCCGGCTCCGAGCGCCGTGCCCGCGTGCTCCTCGTTTTGCTGCAGCCTGCACCGTGGCATCGACGGCGAGCAACACCCGACGAAGTCGTGCTCGTTCCCGCACACAACAGGACGCGGCGGGGCTGCGCTGACGTGTGACGGGTATGACAGCGCACCTGGCGTGGATCGACTCGATGGTGTTCCAGCAAGACATGAAGCGTTCAAAATTGTCTTGGATCAGGGTCTGCTGTTGCACGTCCCGCTCTGTGAGGTCCTCCCGGAGCCGCTGGACCCCGACTTTGATCAGAGAGCCAGGCGTGTCGCGGTGGACAGCCGACAGGAAGACGTCGGGGTCGAACTGCAAGCAAACGCTCACGTCACCGGCGGTGGGGTGCTGCGAAGGGCCCTGCAGGCGCGTTCACGCGGCCATAGCCGTCGATCGTAGGCACACCTGGTCGCTAGTGGTCAGGACGAGGTGTCTGGGCGCTCGGGGTCCGGCTTTGAGAGGTCCGAGCGCGGCCAACGTGCTGGGAAACGCCGTCCTGAATCGCATGGAGTGGCCCGCCCCCGTCCCTGCGCGCTCGGCGCCCGTAGCTACCTGCGCAGTCTCCGGCGCAGCGCTCACTGTGGGGATGCCGCTCAAGTACAGTACACGCGCTGTTGGGCCCGCGCGGTCAGCGACAGCTGCCGGATGACTCACCAGCGACAGAGTGTGAGGATCGACCTCGCCCAGCCCGAACGGGTCCTTGGCCTCGGCCTCGCGGCGAACGGCGATGGGGATCTGGCGCGCGTACCCCTCGGTGTCGGCTTGCGCGGTGAGCAGGGACGACGCCTCGTTGGACGCCATTGTTGATGCCAAGTGGTCCAGCTCCGCGACGTCGACCTGGTGCCAACCCACAGCCTTCTGACCTGCGACAAACGGAAGACGAACGCCCGCCGCTCGAGCGTGGCGCGCACGGAGTATGCACGCATCGGTCCCTCGCACGTGCGCGATGTTCGTGTGCACCACAAATCACTTGCCTCGAGGGGCCGACATAGTCCTTTCGGGCGTCTCGGTGGCGCCCAAGTGACCCTCGCTGCGGTCATCGCTGTCTGCTCCTACGTCCAGCTCACCGGAGACGCCCCGCGGCCCGAGGCCCTCTTCGCCACGTGCCTGGTGGCCGCTTTGAACCGAGCTCTCCGGCAACGAGTGGCCGTCAGTGGCGCGCGGTATGATTTGGATATCGTCCGGCATGAGCTCGATGGGGATCGCGGCCTCGTGCGGCTCAACCTCATGCGTTGATGCCATGGTGGCCTGCGCGTGTTCTCGCTGCGAAGCAGATTGGGGGGCGCCCGCGACGACGGAAAGCCGCCTGGTGGCAGGACCGGTCTACTCTAGATGGGATATGCTTCACGTCCGCCCTGCTTCGTGGAGGACAGCGCCGAGCAGCTTGCGCGGCTCCTTCAAAATCATCTGCCCAACCACCACCGAGGAAAACACCGCCAAAAGTTGAAACTATGAGCCCGCCTGTCGCGGATGCGCGTTGCAGATGGGAGCAACTGCAACGTTCGCCGCCCGGAAGGCTCCCCACCAAAGCCCCTTGCCACGCCCCGTCGCAGCGGCCTTTCGGGAAGTTTGATGGAGCTCTCGCTGCCACACGAGGGCCGCACGCACCGAGCACCCGGACGCGGCAAAAGGGTGCCTGCAGATGCAAGTCGCCCTTGATGTGACTTCCCACGGGACTGATGTGAGGCGCCAACAGAGCACCCTGTTGCTCCCGCCTCGTTCGCCTCGGAGCCCTGCGGTCCTGCGGGCAGAGCCGCAGCGAGCTTGGGGTGTGCCACCAGATCGTGGCCGGCTGCCCCATCGTCGTCGCACGTGGCGCGCAGCTGGGACCGCGCCGCTCAGCGACCCCGGTGGTCAGCCAAGTCAGCAGGTTGTGGCTGCCAGGTGCTCTGCTGCGAGTCCAGGCCCCAGGGACTGCAAAGTGCCCGCTGCTCTCCCTCGCATGCCCACAACCCTGCCAGCGTTCCGCAACAGCACTTCGTGGGTCGTCCGAACGTCGAACAGGCCGTCACCGGGACTCCAGCCAAGCGGACACTGCACGTCGCATCTCGGCCTCGCTCCGGCACCAGCTGACCACTTTCGATAGACTCCGTACGCACCATGCCTGCGTCGATGACCAGCCGCTGCCCCGCTGCGGTGCACCGCCAGGGCCGGACGGAAACGGCAATGCCCTCTGCCACCAGGAGCACCCTGGGGCGCACTGCAGCTCACCGGCCGCGCGCGACGCGCGGCGCAGCAACGCGTGCGAGCGAGAGCGACAGCTGCAACAATCGCACAGCGACCAGCGCGGCTGTCACGCGCCGGTCGACTCTGAATGCCGCCCTTGCTGGGCTGGCTCTGGGTGCTCTCGAGCCAACCTTCACGGAGCCCGCCCGCGCCGTTCAAGGTACGTTCTCGCATAGTCGCCTTGCTCTGCAGCTTTCAGCGGGGCCTTGATCCGTGGTAGTGACCTGGTACCGGTTCATCGGGGCAAGGCTAGGCATGATGCAAGAGCACGCCGTACATCTCCTCCTGCAGGTTCGCTGGCTGGACGAATCCCCGGCATCGTCCAGGATGGTGATATGAACAGGTACATCAGGCCTGCGGCGAAATCTGGCGGGTAAGCGGCGCATCAACCACCTGAGGCTCTGTGCTTCTCTGAACTGTGCTGGCGACACTCATGGGCCCTGCGCTCTCTCAACGGAGACGCAAGCGCTCCGAACAGCCCGCACACCCCGGCAGCAGACAGCGGACGAGCCCTTCATCGGGCCAGGCAGGTCTGTGTAGCGACCCACCACCAGCACTGTTCCCCGTCATGCAGGCACGGCGTTGGGTGGCAAGAGGTCCCCCGCTACAGCTTCGTGGTGCCTCAGGGCTGGGACGAAGTGCCCGTGTCGATCGCCGACCTGGGCGGCACAGGTGCGCGCGCTGCGCTCCCACCCGTGCAACGTTGGCGACCGTGAGTTGAATCGCAAGTGCCTCGACCCATCCCCACCTGCACGGCCGCCGTCCTCGGTGATGCAGAGATCGACCTCCGGTTCGCCAGCACGACGGATGAAGGCAGCGCGGCGGTGGTCATCGCACCGATCGGGCGTTTCAGGTGCGCGGCTCACGCTCAACTACTCGGCTCTAATTGCACAGCTGCGCCACCCGCAACGCTCCCGCCCAATGCAACGTTGTCAAGGCACTCATCACCCTCTCGTCATCGCAGGGATGACGCCATCGACTCTGACTTCCGCATCACCGACCTCGGGGAGCCACAGCAGATCATCGAGGGCTTTGCGCCCGAGCTGACGCGGTCGGCGCTCAACGAGAACGACCTGATCGAGATGAGCCAGTTCGAGGGCGACGATGGGCTGCCGTACTACACCTACCAGATCCGCACCGACGGGGTGAGTGAGACTCCCCGCAACCTGATCGGCCTGCGTGCATGTTGACTGCACATTCGACAATTCCGCCCGTGCCTGTCCTGCTGCTTTCGCAGTTCCCGCACGTCCTGGTGACCGCGGCAGCGAAGAAGAACAGGGTGTTCCTGTTCACGATCTACGCGAACAACCGGCAGTGGCGCAAGAACAAGGACACGTTCCGAACCATGGCAAACTCGTTCACGGTCGACAGCGAGCAGAGTCCGAAGCTGGCAAGGTTCGTGAAGGAGAATTTCGCCGCGATGTAGGCCGCCGATTCGTACAGCATTGGCCACGGCGGGGCTGCAGTTGCACACAGTCTCTGGCCATCCCCTGTGGGCGCCCTGTCGAGCGTCGACTCGCACGCGCACTGCGCGGTAACCGAACTACCAGTATCAAAGAGGCACGGGCGCGTTGCCGCCTGTGCGAGCGGCGGACCATGGTGTTGCCGCCACTGTAAATATCTAAGGCCAAACTGCCCGCCGGTGGGCACTCGTAGGGCCGGATCATCGCACGGCAGGGCCGCCGACGCAGCGCAGAGTGGGCCGGTTTCACTCCCATGGTGCAGGACGGGGATTCGACGATTCCCAGGGGGCTCTTTCCCATGGACGCGCTTGCCTCTCAAGGCCGTTATTGCTTTGGCCGCTGCCCGACTTTGCCGCTTCCAGAATGCTCGCCAGGTCGACGTCTGACACCCCGCCCTGGACGGTCACTGAGCGCTGGTGGGCCACGTCAGTCCGCGCATCGGGTGCGTCCGACGCGCTCCACGAGCTGATGTTCATATACTGGGACTGCGGTGGATGTTTGTGTTCGGAGGCGTTCGCGAGTATATTGCGCAGGTCTACGTCAGAGGGGGCTTGTAGATCTGGCACGTGATCGGAACGAACGATCGGCGGTGCGGGCCCGTCCGCGGCAGGATCCCGGCCCTGAGAGCTGCGGGGGGGCGCCCTCCTCGGCGTCGCCTCGTCGCTGCGGCTTTCACGCGCACCGCCCGCTGGCTGGTCCGGCATGTCGACCGAACCATCTGGCAGATCCAGCACGTCGCCCCCGTCGGACGAGCCCCGGTGCCAGAAGCGAGGGATGCGGGAGCAGCGAGCGGTTTGTGCGTGGAGCTCCGCGCTCTCCTGCCCGGCTGCGTACTCCCACTCCGTGCTCACTGGCATCTCCACGGGGAGCAGGAAAGGGACCGTTGGACGCATGTCGCGAAGCCGCTGCGAGAAGCGCCGCTCCTCGTCCATGTGCTCCGCCTTGACCTGCTGGAGCAGCTTGAACTCCTCTTGGTGTTCCCGGCGGGCTGCAGGAATCGGAACCGCGCAACACTGCCTTGGGCGCAAGCTTGGGAGGGGCGAGTGGCGGACGGTCGACGCAGGGACGTCCGCCACACACCTGCACTGGCGAAGCCCGAGTGATGCACTGGCTGCCCTACTCGCGGGTCGCTGCTGCCCACAGGCATCGCGTCCTCCCTGGCCTTCGCAGGCTCGTCGTCCTTGAAGAACCACCTGCAGACGCGGGGCAGGGGGGGACGCCACGTTCAACCCGAAACACGCTGCGCGCCGCGCCGGTCCGGGGTCGCGACGTGCGCCCCGCAGCAACTACACGTCCTCACCTTGTCGATGCCAGCGCCTTGTCGCCGTCAGGGGAGGCCTCGTCCCGCCAGCGCACCGCCGATCGACGAGCGCGCGAGCGGGGAACGCGCCGCACTGGCCCGCGGGCGGCCGCGCCGAACACGAAGCCCCCTGCATTGATGCTGCCCAGAATGTTGCCGAGCAAGCTCTTGCCCTGCGTACCATGCGGCGGACTCGCGGGCCTCGCGACGTCCGCATTGGAACGCTGCACGAGGCAGGATCGCCCCTTGCTCGACGCCGGCGGCGGCGGTGCTGCCCCTGGCGTGCCTCGACTGTTGTCCCCCACCTCCCGCTCGCGGGTCTGGATGGGCGCGCCGACGTGATGAGCAACCCCGCCCCGCTGCTCGCTGCTTGTTTCTCGCCGCTGTCCACCGGCGGCCGGCTGCGGTGTTTGTCGCGGCTGTCCGTCGATCGCAGCGGACTTTTCAGCATCCCCTTGCACCTTTGCGCGCTTTCCCTCCGCACCGTCGCTGACGGCCTCGTCGCGCGACCGCTTCGACCCGTCGCTCACTGCTCCTGGATCCTCTTCCACGGCGACCTCCTTCGAAGCGATTGCGGCCTTCCACGCCGCCACAAGGTTGTCCGCAGCCTGTGCGACACCTCGATCCGACTCCTTCCTCAGCCTGTTTGCCACCTTGCCGATCTCGGAAGATCGCAGGGCTTCGCGGTCGATCGGAATGTCCCGGTACAGCTCGAGCAGCTCTGCGGTGGCAGGTGAGAGTGAGCACGATTTGAAGACGACCGTGCCAGGCTCGACCCTCTCGCGACGAGATCGCAAGGCCCGTTTTCGGCGCAGGGGCTGCAGGTCGCCGCGGAGACGCGGGGGCGCGCCACAGCGACGCTCCGGCCTGGGTTCGCACTCGTGAGAACTTTTGGCACTCTGTGTCCATCCTCGAGCCAGTGCCGAAGAACTGAGAACGCGTCCGTGCCGTTGCTGAGCTTGAATCGGGCCAGGCTCTGTCGAAGAGCCTGTGCGCGCGTGCGGGCGACCACGCTCGCGAGCAACAAGCGGCCTTCCCAGGACGTGTGTGTCTCTGCCAGTCGCAGCCAGGCCGGTATTGACGCCTCGGTGCGGAGGCCGCCAGTCCTGTCTATGAGGTCGTTCAGCTCCCTGCTGAACGCGCTCTGGCCCGTCGAGCCGGGCGCGGCGGCCATCTGAGGAACGAGCGGAGCAGAGCTCCCGACGGGAGTTCGCAGCTGGCGTGTCTCAGCGTGGTGGGTGCACGCCACACATAGATACCACCGACAACGCTGCCTGGTAACGACGACTACGTGCTGCGCAATGCACGACGGAGCTAGGGACTCATCCGTGCTGGCTAGCCGGCTGGCGCCGGCTACCCTGGAGCAGGAGTTCGTGCGCCCCGTAGAGCCTGCGTGCTCGATGTGAACGCCGTCCGAGCTACGCCACCTATCGACGAATCGATCGGGAATATTCGAGTGAACCCACGGGGCTGCTTGGGGCGCTATTGCGTCGTCTAGGCGAAGTAAGACTGCTATTGCGCCTGGAGGGTCCTGGGCGGCCACGGGAGTCCCGGGGAGGAGACGGGCGCAGCGCATTTGGGTCGATGACGGCGGGCAGCGGTGACCAGATTCGCGTGGCAACCACCAGGTGCGGGGCAAGCGAGATTTCGGCGGGAGAGCGGTCTCGACTGCTGCGGCGAGCAACCACTCGGCGCGGCGTTGCGTGCGTCCTGACGCGAAGGACGCTCGGCCGCCGCGTGCTCGTGCTGTCTCCACCGTAGACACCCGCAAGGCCTCGGCTGACTGCAGACGTCGCTCGCTCGTTCACCGCCCATCACCATGAGTGCGGAAGAGGGCAGCCCCGCGGTTTCCGACCAGGCCGCGAACGAGGAACAGGCAAGTCAGGCGCCCTGGACATCTGACACCGCGGTGTCTCCACTTGAACATGGCGGAGTCTTCAGCTGCCGGTCGCCGCGCTCGCGCGAGGGAAGGCTTGCTCAGCCTACGCGCTCTCGTCGCACGGCGCTTGGGTGCTGCGGCCAGACTTGCGCTGCCCGGACAGCAACTGCGACGATGCGCCGAGTCAGAGTGCGCAGGCCCGGCGCACCGCGAGTCCCTGGCAGCCACGCCTCACCTCTGCCAGTTGCACCGCCCTCGCAGGCTGGAACGCGCGATGAGGATGTATCCGGGGGCGCAGGCGCGGACGCCGTGGCTGACGAGGATCAGGGGCAGGACGATGAGGAGGGCGCGGACGACGGCGGGGTAGAGGACCTTGAGGACGAAGAGGAGGAGGAGGCGGAGCAGGCGGGTGCCGCATGCGCCTCACGTATATCACGTCCTGGCCCGGGAGGGGCCCCATATCGAGTGCGTATCGCGAGACCCCGTCCTTGGCCGTTTCGCTTTGACGCGTGCGGCGCTTCACGATGACTCGCAGGAGGGCGCAAGGAAGAAGGGAAAGAAGAGGCGCCAGGGCGGGTCGAGGTTCATCGATGATGCTGCGGAGGACGGCGACGAGGATGAAGATGAGGAGGAGGAGGCCGCCAACGAAGGCGATCGGCCCAAGGTGAAGCGCAGCAGGTGAGTTGGGCGCCGCTGTGCACACTTTCACCTCAAGGCCGTCTCCTCGTGCGAGTGGTCAGCGAGGCGCACCGACGGACGTGCGCCGTTACGTTTCCTGTCCGCAGGTTCATCGACGACGCTGCCGAGGACGAGGATGAGGACGAGGAGGGTGATGAGGACGAGGAGGACGAGGAGGAGGAGCCCGCGGCAGCGGGCGGCGAGGACCGCGGCGAGGTGCGCGCGCTCGCTGCAGGCGGGCGGGCCGACGTCGCCTGCCGACGGGCGGCGATCGGCGTGACCTGGCGCGGCTGCCGTGACCACGCAGGAGCGCTGATGTTGCGCGCGGGCCCCACGGCTGGTGCCCACCCGATGACACGCAGGAGGGCGCGCACGAGGAGGACCACCTCGAGCTCCAGGGAGAGCTGCGGCGGCAGAGGGAGCGCGAGGAGGAAGCGGACCAGCTGGGGGAGCAGCTGCGCAGGCGAATCGAGGAGCGCTACAAGCAGCCCGAGTACATGCAAGAAGGTGCGCAGCTGCGTCGCCACGCGCCCCGCGCGACGGCTGCGCCCGCGCTGATGCTTGGGAGCGGCTGTCGCTCGCAGCGGGCCTGCTCATTCTCGCCGCCGCCTGTCCCGCCTGTGTGGTGCAGCTGGACAGGACCGCGAGGTGGACCAGCAGGCCCTGCGCCCCACCTCAGCGGACCCTTCGGTGTGGGCCGTGATCTGCAAGGCCGGGAGGGAGCGCGAGCTGGTGGTGGCGGTGCTGCGCAAGTGGGTGTTCTCGCACCGCTCGGGGAAGCCCCTGAAGATCAAGTCCGTGTGGGCGCGGGACGAGATCAAGGGCTACATCTACGTCGAGGCGTTCAAGGAGAGCCACGTCAAGGAGGCCATCGGGTCCATGCAGAACGTGATCCACTCGCGCGGCTACCAGCTCGTCCCGCGCGAGGAAATGATCTCCTCCATCACGCCCTCGGCCCAGGTGCGCTCCCCCGCAGGCCGTGCGCGCTCTCTTGGGGCCGCGAGAGGCGGAACCGGCCGCGCGTGAGCACGCCCTCTGGTTGATACTGCCCGCAGGCGAAGGAGAAAATCACCGACGGGTCCTGGGTGCGCATCCGCTCGGGCGTCTACAAGAACGACCTCGGCAGGGTGCAGAACGTCGATCTCGCTCGCGGCAGGGCGGTCGTAGAGCTGGTGCCGCGGCTCGACTACCCGCTGCTGGCGTACAGGCAGGCGAGGGCGCGTGGCGAGGAGGTGGGGGACCCCCCCAAGTCGCAGTTCCGTCCCGTGGCGCGGCCGTTCAACGCGGAGGAGGCGAGGACGTACGGCGTCGACCCCCAGGACTACGGGCGGTACTGGCAGATCGACAGCCTTCGCATCGTCGGGGGCTACCACGTGCGCGACTGCTCCCTCAAGATGCTGATGCTGGAGTCCGCCCCGTCGCTCGACGAGATCCAGGTGTTCAACGCCGCCAAGCAGGACGGCAACGCGATGGACGAGGACGACGCGGAGGGAGGGCGCGGCGTGTCGGACCTGGAGCAGCTGGCGAAGATGCTGCCCAAGATCGACGACTCGACTGCGGGAGTGCTGTTCAAGAAGGGAGACAAGGTCCTGGTGACGCGCGGGGAGCAGAAGAACCTGCGCGGCGTGATCGTGAGCATCACGGGCGGCAGCGTCGAGGTCATGCCGTTTGACGAGGCGTTCAAGGACATGGGGGCCTTCACCATCCCCCTGAAGGACCTGAGCAAGACCTTCGACGTGGGCGACGCGGTGGTCGTCGACAAGGGGCAGTACCAGGGCGCCACGGGGCAGGTCTCGCGGGTCGACAAGCAGGTGGTCACGTTCTTCAACGACTCGACGCAGAAGCCAGTGCAGGTGTTCGCCAGGGACCTGTCCATCTCCAAGGAGCGGCCCGCGTCGATGTCGGCCATCGGACAGTACCGCCTGTTCGACTTGGTCATGATCGACCAGGAGACGTTCGGCGTCATCATCAAGATCGAACCGGGGTCGTGCACGGTGCTCACCAACCACTCGCAGCCCGGTCGGAACGACATCCAGGTGTGCCGCCTGAGCGAGATCAAGAAGAAGATCGAGGCTCAGGTGCAGACGACCGACGTCCGAGGGAATGCCATCCGCAAGCGCGACATGGTGGAGATCATCGCAGGGCCGGCAAAGGTGAGGCACCCACGCGGCAACGGGATCGTGCCGAGCCGCACGACTCCGCCCACGTGCCCTGCGCATGCCGTCCGTCCATGTTCACACAGCAGCCACCGTCTTTCGCCGCGTGCAGGGTGTGGAGGGCACCGTCGTGTACGTGTGGCGGAAGCACGTGTTCCTCAACACCGTCGGCTCCTTGAAGTACAAGGGCATGCTGTGCATCCCAGCGCAGCAAGTCGCAGCGCGCGGCATGAACGCGGGACCCGCCGCTGCGGTGGCCAACGGCCCTGCTGGCCTCAGAACCCCGGCGTTTGGACCAGGCGGCGGTGGCTTGGGGGGGCGGCCTGCGCGGCCACCCGCACCCATCCGGCGCGACAGGATCGTCGGCCAGCATGTCAAGGTTCAGAAGGGCTCGTACCGGGGATACTACGGAAAGATCGAGCACGCGGATCCCGACCAGGTCAAGATCCGCCTGGACGCAAACGGGCAGCTGGTCAACGTGAAGCGCGCACACCTCGACGCCGCCTACCAGCAGGGGGCGGCGCCATCTGGCCTGCTGGTGGGCCTGCGGCGGGGCGGGCCCCGGCCGGCCTTCGGGAGCGCGACGCCCGGGATGGCAGCATTCCGCGCCACTCCTGCTCACGCGGGAGCCGCGACAGCTCTGCACCCCGGCGCAACGCCGTTCCACTCCGGAGCTGCGACTCCCATGCATGCCCCGAGCACACCGTTCCACGAGAGCGTCTGGAACCCTGCCTACGGAGCCACGGCGACGCCCGCCCACGGCGATGCGGCACCTCTCATGGCGCCCCCGGGCAGTGCGACCCAAGGCGCCTACTCAACAGGTGACTCGCACACACGCTCTCCTCGCACGCGAAGACTGCACGACACCCTCCCCGGAAGCCCTGACTCACAACTTGGACGCTCACGTCTGCCCTGTGTACAGGAGGCTTGGACGCTGCGTTGGGAGGCCAGCCGAGCGGCGGAGGCACTGAGACAGAGCTCACACCGGAGTGGGAGGGCGTCGTTGTGGAATTCCGGGCATCCGGGCAGCGCGCACGCGTGCTCAAGGTATTGGGGACGTGCTGCACGTTGCTATTCGCTTCTCCAACTGTGTGTGCGGGGACAACGACACAGCCACGCTTTTGCGATGCATACAAACGCCTTTGTACCTGCCCCGGCCGCAGGTCCAAGACAGCCAGTGCGAAGTCGAGCTTGGCAGCGTCGACGGGGGCAGCTTCGTAGCCAAGGAAGGCGAACAGCGCACCTCCGTGCCAGCGAGTGACCTGCAGCTTGTCGCGCCTGGTGCGGGAGAGGCCGCGAAGGTGGTCGCGGGGAAGCTCGTCGGCAAAGTGTGCACGGTGAGCAGCACGGGCAGCTGTGTGTGTGTGGCAACACCTTGCCGCCCGCTCGACTCGCGCACGAACAATGACCCGAACTCGCACCTGCCGTATCGCAGGTGAAGGCGGCGCCCCCTGGAGGCTCCCAGCTGATTCTCGCCGTCCCGGACGGAACGTTCGAGGCAGTCCCAAGAGGAAACGTCGGGCTGGCATGCAACTGATGCAGAAACACACGGTTTCGGACGCATGCCTATTGCTGGTCAGTGTGAGAGACGAAGGCCGACCCCACTGCTCTCGGTTTGCCCAAAAAGTAGGCTGGCAGCTAATCCATGAGTCATCGATCGGACACCTGGCGGACAGCGAGCCCGGTTGCAGCAAGGGGCGTGAGGCCAACTCTCAGCATGTGTCGTACAGGGTGAACAAGACTCAAGACTCAAGAAAACGCACCGACGCTACCGCTTCTATTCCCCATACGATCAGCCAGCGCGGTGTCACAGCAACGCAAGACACACGACCCTCACTCACTCAGCAGCCTCGAGATCGCTTGTCTATGCGAATCCGGAAGACACTGCAGCACTTCCATGGCATCTTGGTTGCCGTCCAGAGATGCGAGACACTGGGCAGTCTTCCGTCGAACAGTCGGGTCCACCTTCTCGATGACGCACCCCTGTGGTCACCGCGTGCACCGGCGCGTGGTAGTCGGCGACTGACCGATCGATCGGCACAGCGTTAGTGACAGGGCGCCCCAGCTCACCTGCGCTAAGGCTGAAACGATATCCTGGAACAGCTGTTTGGGAAGGTCGCGGGACACATTTGGCGCCGTCACCTCCACGAGACAGCCGTACACGGCTTCGGCCTCGTCGACATCGCCTCGCAGCGGAAGCGCCTGTACGATGGCGGGCAAAATCTGCGGGAGCGGGAGCATGGAACCTGCGACGTGGACTATTCGACAGACAGCGCCAGCCGCATTGTCTCTCGTGGCTGCTTCCTCCTCTTCGTCGAAGAGATGGTGAAGGTGCTCGAGGAATCGACGCATGTGTCCCCCGATCTGCGCAGGATTCGTCGCTGGGAAGGCGGCAGAGTGTGCATGGGGCAGCGAAAGAACGTCCTTGCCATTTCAACCAGCCTTGCCGGTTGAACGTGCGTTTAACGTGGACTCACCTTGGACATACAGTGCAAAAACAGTATGCCCGAGCAGAACGCCGCGTTCCGGCGGTTCTCCGACTCCTCGGAGCGAAGTTCCCGCAACAGCACTGGCACGATCTCCTCCACGAAATCCTCGGCGCGCGCCTGTACGGATGATCACGACGAGGCGAGAACAGAATGAATAGCACTGCGCACATGGCGGGAGCACGCGCAGATGCCCCTTGTGAAGGCGTCATACCTGCAGAACTTCCACACACTCTGCAAAGCAGCCGATGGCGATCTGCCTCGCGCTGGCGGGCTTCTCGGGTCGCATCAGGCCCCTCAGAGGACCGATGATATGTTCTCGCATTACTGGAGCGAAGGCCTCAGCCCCAAAGGCGCCTGCAGGGGAATGTTGATCCAACAGAAGGCAATCGTTCGCGCTGCAACGCCAACACGTTGCCCAGGCCGATCGTCGCAACGACCCGCTTCGTACCGGCAATGGTCGCTATCAAGTCGCTGGCTGAAGTGAGCAACTCCTCCGCATCGTCGTTTTCGCCGTCGATTTCGTCGTCACTGTCTTCGCGAGCTGCCTGCAGCGACAGAGCGACCGTCAGCAGCACGTTTCGCGCGTCCTGATCGCACACCGCCAGCATTCATACCTACAGCGTGTCGACGGGGGGTGGGGACGGAACCTGCTGTGCAATGGTGTCGCCTTCGAGCACCAACGCGCAAATCCGCACCAGCGGCAACAGGTGCTTTTCCATCGCCTCCGCCCCGATCTCCTTGATCACCTCGTCCGCAGCGTCGAGCGCACTCGCAAGCGCACTCATGTCGTCGTCCACGGAGAACGCCCCCACGATGCACCCCATGAGCTGTTCGGACATCTCCTGCAACAGGGAAGCGAACAGGCACGTTCAGGCGGCCCGCACCACGTCACGTCCGCAGCTCAGGAGGTGGACTGGCTCAGATACCACACCTGACAGGCATCGTCATCGATGGCGCGCACAGCCCAGCCTTTGTAGGCGGCTATCAGCAGCCCAGCACACGCGAGGTATGCCTGCCGCCGTACTTCTTCGTGGAAGTAGTTTGTCATCTCCACGACCACGGGCATCGCTTGAGGCATGGCGTCCATGAAGTGCGGGCCGGTAGCTCGGGACAAGCGACCCAAACAGTGTGTTGCAGCGCACTTCTCGTCCATCACCCCTGCAGGGCAGACGGAGGGGCGCGACTCGTCTCGCTCGCACAGGTTGTGCACGCCCGCCGTCACTGCGGCAGTCGAAGCGAGGTGTACCTGTGCGCACAGAGAACCCCTTGATGGGTTCGTCGTCGTCTGAGTCTTCGAGGTCGAGGACGCCGTCCTTGTCCCGCACAGCGTCCTGCAGCCCGCATGAGGTCAGCGCCCGAGGAACGACCTGCAAGCGCGCAACGCCGGGCAAGTACGTCGGGAACTCTCTCCCAAAGTGTGCCTCGCTCGGACACCGTGGGTGACGGCCCGGGGCGCACCTGACTGACCAGAGGCTTGGCATCCTCGCCGAGGACGTCAGCCAGGTGGGCGAAGAAGCCGTACGACCACTCGCGCAGCTCGCTGAAGTCGAGGGCGAACCCCGCCATTGTTGCGTCCACGAATGGTCCAGCAGCTTTGATGGCCTGCTCCTTCCCGATGGCCTGCAATCATGATGACAAGTGACGCGCTCTTCCGTTCCAACCGCCGCCGCAAAGGCCTGCTTGTGCACGAGGGTTCGACAGCACTGCCGTGAAAGCGCGGGGCTCCTTGCCTGAAGGACGAGGCCGGCGCACTCGGTCGCGCGGGCCCTAGCACTCAGAATGTCATCTTCAGTTCGCGTCATGAGCTGGTGCAGGAGCGGCAGCAATTGCTCCGCATGCGGAGTGAAGGCGGTCTCGGCGGACGCAGCGATGGACGCCATCGCGGACAGAGCGAGCTCTTGCACGCGCAGCGGCGAGTTCTTCAGCAGCGCAACCAGGGCCTCCATCAGCTGTCCGACGAATGGCAGAATGTCGTCTCCCAAGTACTCGCAGAAGGTGTCCAGCGCGTAGCAGCCCGCCTCAGCAACGTCCGGGTCAGAGTCATGCAGTATCTGCGTAGCACGTCGGTGGTTTCAGTGTCAGTGTACACGAGTGAGGGGGCAGCCTGCATCGGCGGGGCACGCGCGCTACGGTGTGCACCAAGAGCGCGTCGCGGCGCCTACCTTGAACAGCGCGGGAATCACCTCCTGGTGATACTCCACAATGTCAGGCTGCAGCCACTCGGCCAGTTGGCCCAGTGTGCCCGCCGCCTTCCGGCGCACGACGGGCTCCGCGTCATTCATGCCAGCCAGGGTCACTGACAGAATCACTTTCAACTTCTTGCGCAGCGGCTCGCTGCAGCCTTCGGCGACGATGCCGACTGCATCCACCCCTGCAGCCCTGATGTTGGCGTCCTGGTTGTGCACGGCCGACTCCAAGAAGGACAGGACCGTGGGCAGCACGTGCTTCGAGGACACGCCTCGCGCGACCTCGTCGAGAGCCTGCAGACGCGCGTACCCGAGGCTGCTTGCGTGACTTCCAGGGAGGTTCTGGAGCACAGCACACGCGGTCGTGGAGCGCCGCCGCCGAGGAGGGCCGCACGAACCTGGCCGCCGAACTTCCGGGCAGATGCTTGGCTGGATTCATCGTGGTCCTCTGGGTCGGGCTCGCACAGGAGCTTGCACAGGTTGCCGGTCACCTCGGCCGCGAGGCCGCTCTTGGACAGCAGCTTCGGCTTGTAGCTCGCGAGCATGTGGATCACCGACAGCGAGGCCTCTCTGACGCCCAGGTCGTGCTCTGCGATGCCTTCCCCGGGGGGTGTCACGTGTCGGTCTCACTTGGTTTTGTTGCAAGACAATGCGCGCGGGGCGGTTCCTGCATGAACATCTCGACTTGCATGTACGTGCGTCACCTGCATTGCACGCCACCGAGAGCGCGAAACGGACGGTCGGCTGCACGACTGCCTGCAAGGCCGCCGAGGGGAACTCCACGGCATCCGTGACCGCTTCAAAGGCGTTGATGGCCACGTCGTCCTCGCCCTCCTGCATCTCGCCAAACGCGATCGGATCCGTCGTTTCAGCCTATGCGCGGCATCCGAGGCGCAGCGCTGATTCGCGGGGGCCGGGCTGCGCACCCTGAGCGATGCTTCGATGCAAGCAGCCAGCGCCGGCACGAGCACTCCGAGATCCACGAGGTCCGCGTCCCCCGCCGCCCCCGTCATGAGTGCCATCACGGCCTTGACGGCGACGCGGCGGATGGCGGGCGTCGCGTCGCCCAGGCCAGCGACGAAGACCTGCTGCAGTGTCGTGTAGTGTGGCCGCAGCTCCTCGGCGATGTACTCCATCAGCGAGCAGAACAGCGACATGGCGACGTGCCGGTGCTCCGCATCCTGCATGCCACGCGCCGCCGCGCTGGGTTCGTTGAGGCGCACGGCCACGGAGGTTGCAGCGGCGCGAGGACAGACGTCGCAGGTGACGCCCACCTGGGAGGCGCAGCACTGCGCGAGGAAGTCCAGTAGCTGCGGCCAGGTGCCTTTCGGGACCGCATCCCGCGCGATAACCGAGGCGGCGCCCATCACGGCTGTCTTGACGGGATGCACGGGCTCGTGCAGCATCCTCTCCAGCAGGGCTGCCTTGATGGCCGTCCGGGCGTTCTCGTCAAGAGCCTTCCAGTGCTTCCCAATGCGCTTCTTGAGGAACAGGGCCGCGATTTGCCTGCAGCGTCATCCGCGACACGAAGGGGCACGCGTGATGTTGTGTCGTCCTGGAAAGCAGTTGCGGGGCGCATTGGACGTCCACGCGATCGCCTGGCGGCTGGCCGCGATGCCTGACCTCACGGAGGCGTCCTCTGAGGAGCAGACCCTCGTAATGAGCTGTGGAATGATGGAAACATCCTTGCCAGCCGCCTGTAGTGCGCCCTCTGCTTCCTTGCGCTTCTGCATCAGCCGGACGAGCGGTGGAACAGATGGTTCTTCTCGCCATGGGAACGAGCGCTCGCTCATGCGCGCCACCAGGGGGCGACGGAACTTGTTGCTCTACAAGTTGCCTGTGGCACGCGGATGAGGAGAAGAATCGGGAACGTCTTGCGCCGTGCAGGACCGCGATAGGTATGCCGATGACACCTCGCCGTCGGTGGGACGACACGTCGGGGCCCTGGGATCTACGGGACCAGAGCTCCTGCTCGCCCCCTCTAGGCGGCTTGCGAGGGCCACTGAGTCATTCAACATGTTGTGCGGACGCGTGAATGCGATACTTCCCCTCAAAATATGATTGGCGAGTCCGTATAATGGTAATTCAGGGCGTGGCCGCGCAGCAGGAGCCCGTCTTGAGTGCTTCTGCACCAGGCGCCGCCTGCTGCGCTGAGACATCTGCGCACCTGATTGTCGTTGGACAGGCACGTTCTCAGCACGGCATCTAGGTCCATGGTCGGGCGCAGCCGCGGCCCTGGTTCCGCGCCCTGGGGAAACTATGCCGTAAAAAGTGAGCGCTCTCACAAGGAGAGAATCCGCGGCGGCACGGTGAACCTTGCGCCCGAACACGTGCGGACACGATCCAGCAAGCTGGCCTGCTCCAGTCCTGGAGAGCCTTGACGTGGTACTCGGCCGCGGCCGGGGCTGTTTCCCAGTGCAGTACCCCACTCCGCAGCACTCGCCGGCCGAGCAGGATGGCCGGCCTTTCGCGCCGCCTGCGGCAACTTCCGGTCGCGGGTGACTGTCGCACTGGCGGAGGGACGCCTGGCCTCGGTCTGCAGGGCTGCGCGGGGGTTGTTTGAACATTGCCACGCCCGTAGGAAGACGGAGCCGCACGCCGGACTCGACAAGGTGCGCGGACAGTCATCTGTCGGGAGGTTGACACCTGCCCGCGGCCCTGTGTGGGCGTCTGACGCGCCTGCTGGCCGCACGCTCTCAACGGCCCTCACTAGCACCAGGGCAGCGGCCGTGGACGCGCGATGAGGGCCCAGGTTCTGCGGCGCGTGCTCGTGCGGCACACCGCGAGCCCGATCGCCTGGTCCTCTCGCATCACCTTCCCCAGCGGGTCCTCCATGGCATGCGGTGCACGTGATGATCTCGACTGTATGCAGGAGATCTCCGGCACCTGAATGAGTCACAAAAATAAAGCTGTCGTCGGCCAAAGAGGCTCGAAAACAAGATAATCATTCGACAGCGACGGCCAAACACTGTCAGCCACCCACTGCGGGACGCGATGGCGCGTCACTGAGACTGATTCAGAGGGAAGGGCGGCGCGGCAGACACGCGCCACGCCAGGAGTGCGAGCGCGAAGGACGCTGGCCCATGTGGTCCGAGTGAGGGATGATCACATCATGTAGGATTCGAAGCAGCGGTGCAATTCGCAGAACTGATTAAATCTGTGCTTCCTAATATTCAAACCAACTGTCGTCAAGTTCTGGAAAGCGCCATGATGCCCATTTTTCAATATGGTGGCTGTTAACCAGCAGCACATTTGAATCGGCCCCATACGACAGCTGCAGCCCCTCAGCACTGCTGCCCTCGAGACACACCGCCCTCAGCGCAGGCAGGCGCAGGTTAGTCTCCGTCACCTCCAGCTCCTCGCACGACCTGAGGTCCAGCAGCTCCAGCGCTGTCATCCCGCGCGGGACGCGTCGCAGCGCACTGCCGCACGCGCGGAGGTACACCAGGCGCTCGCGGCACGACAGTGGAAGCCACGCCTGCTGGTCGCCGGAACTCACGTTCGTGTCGTGGTCCGAGGAGTCGAGACGCTCGCATTCGACCACGTTGAGCGCCTCAAGCGACCCCATCCCCTCCGGCAGCCTCCGCAGGCTGCTTAAACGACAATCCAAAGTTTTCACGCTCCCGCAACTCGACGCCGGCAGCCACCCCTCCTCGTCCAGCTCCTCGCATTTGCCCACGTCGAGCACCTCCAGCGCTCCCATCCCCTCCGGCAGCCTCGCCAGCGAGGACTGAAAAGCGTCCAGCTTCTTCACGCTCCCGCAACTTGACGCCGGCAGCCACCCCTCCCCCGCCAGCTCATCGCATGCACTCACGTCGAGCTCCTCCAGCGACTCCATCTTCTCCGGCAGCCTCGCCAGCGAGGAGCTGTTAGCAAACAGCTTCTTCACGCTCCCGCAGCTCGACGCCGGCAGCCACCCCTCGTCGTCCAGCTCCTTGCACTCCATCACGTCGAGCTCCTCCAGCGCTCCCATCCCCTCCGGCAGCCTCGCCAGCGAGGAGCACTCAGCAATCAGCTTCTTCACCCTCCCGCCGCTCGACGCCGGCAGCCACCGTCCCCGCCGGGTGCCAGCAATAGCTCACGTCCAGCTCCTCCAGCGCTCCCCATCCCTCCGGCAGCCTCGCCAGAGGCTGTTAACAAACGCTTCTTCACGCTCCCAGGCTCGCCGGCAGCCACCCCTCGCCAGCTGCTTGCATGCGCTCGTCAACTCCCAGCGCTCCATCCTCCGGCAGCCTCGCCAGCGGGGAGTACGAAGCATCCAGCTTCTTCACGCTCCGCAGCTCGACACCGGCAGCCACCCCACCCCCGCCAGCTGCTTGCAGTCACGCACGCTGAGCACCTCCAGCGACCCCATCCCCTCCGGCAGCCTCCGCAGACCTTGCCCGTCCACCACCAGCTCCTTCAACCGCGCCGCGACGCTTGCAGGCAGCCACTCTGCCCCCCACTCCCGACCAATGTCAAAGTCCACGCGACACGCCCTGACGACCTCCAGCCCCGTCATCTCCTCCTCGATCACCAGTCGACGCGCGTCCCCCACAGGCCCGTCCCCCTGGCCCGTCTTCCTGGCCTCCAGCCGTACGATCGCCGCCACACTGTCGGGGTCCGCACCCGCGCGCCGGTACACCCACCACCGCCCGTCGTCGCTCGCCCGCCCCACCTGCGATCTCGCCCTCGCGGACACGCGCCCCTCCACCTTCCCCGCCACCGCCCTGCCCACCTCACTTGTGTGTGCGGTCCATCGAGCCCCCCCGCAGCCCTCCAGCACGCGCGCCATCGCGCCCGACGACGCGGCCGCGAGGGCGACGCGCGACTTGTCGGGCAGAAGGCGGATGATGTCGACCAGCGGACCGCCGTCCTTCCCGAGCCACAGGCCCATCAGAGGGACCGCAGTCCCATCGTCACCAGCGCGTGGGCGCTGCGAGGGCCCCGACCCGCCCACGCAACGTCCGCTTCGCAGCTCCATCGGATGTAGAGATCGTGCCCGTGATGCCGCGCCGCCGTCGGGTGTCGTAGATGGGTCCTGCGGGTGCCAATGAGAGAGAGATTCCAGGAGGTGAGGTAGCGGGAGCTGTGAGGGCCGCCCGGCGCGCGCATGCAGCCGGGCTCGGCATGACACCTAGTGTCTGTCATATGGCATCCTGACAACCCAGCAAGGGTCTCCCGCCACGCAGCCTCACGGCCGAGCTCCCTCCAGCGCCCGAGACGCACGCCGCATGCACCGTGTTGGGCGCTCTATGCGACTCTCGCAGCAGCCCGCGAGACAGCACACACCTCCACCACCGCCGTGCGATCAGCACCAACCACCGCCAGCGCGTTCCACGACCACCGCCCCGCGTCTCACCTGCTACCAGCAGTTGCACGGCCCGCTCGCGTCACGGCGATGATGCCGATGCGCAGCTGCTTCGAAACCAGACCACTACTCCTGCAGGTGGCAGGCGCACCCACATGACGCCGCCCGGGCCCGTGGGGGCACTGAACGCGCGCACAACCCCCCTCTCGTCAGGGCCCTCCAAACTTTGGATGCAACTCGAGGTTGCATCCAGTTGCTGAGCGGCCCGACCACGGAGCCGGAGGCACGACGCGAGTCAACCTCGGCCACGCGCGAATGACACGTCCCGCTGTCGTCGGTTCGCCCCGCATCCAAGGCCCCAACCAGTATAGTGTGACAGCGGACGTGGACGCGCGACGAGGGCCCAGGTTCTGCGGCGCGTGCTCGTGCGTCACACCGCGAGCCCGTTCGCCTGGCCCTCGCGCTCCACCTTCCCCAGCGGGTCCTCCATGCGGTGCACGTGATGATCTCGACTGTATACATGTATACAGTCTCCTGTACAGGAGATCTCCGGCACCTGAGTGAGTCACAAAAATAAAGCTGTCGTCGGCCAACGAGGCTCATACACAAGATAATCATTCGACAGCGACGGCCAAACACTGTCAGCCACCCACTGCGAGACGCGATGACGCGTCACTGAGACTGATTCAGAGGGAAGGGCGGCGCGTCAGACACGCGCCACGCCAGGAGTGCGAGCGCGAAGGACGCTGGCCCATGTGGTCCGAGTGAGGGATTATCACATCATGTAGGATTCTTCGAAGCCGCGGTGCAATTCGCAGAACAGATTAAATCTGTGCTTCCTAATATTCAAACCAACAGTCGTCAAGTTCTGGAAAGCGCCATGATGCCTCTTCGTCCAAATCGTGGCTGTCAACCAGCAGCGCATCGGCCCCACACGACAGCTGCAGCCCCTCAGCACTGCTGCCCTCGAGACACACCGCCGCCAGCGCAGGCAGGCGCAGGTCAGCCTCCGTCACCTCCAGCTCCTCGCACGACCTGAGGTCCAGCAGCTCCAGCGCTGTCATCCCGCGCGGGACGCGTCGCAGCGCACTGCCGCACGCGCGGAGGTACACCAGGCGCTCGCGGCACAACAGTGGAAGCCACGCCTGCTGGTCGCCGGAACTCACGTTCGTGTCGTGGTCCGAGGAGTCGAGACGCTCGCATTCGACCACGTTGAGCGCCTCCAGCGACCCCATCCCCTCCGGCACCCTCCGCAGGCTGCTTAAACTACAATCCAAAGTTTTGACGCTCGCAGCACTCGACGCCGGGAGCCACCCCTCCTCGTCCAGCTGCTTGCATCCGCTCACGTCGAGCACCTCCAGCGACCCCATCTCCTCCGGCAGCCTCGTCAGCGAGGAGTCACGAGCATACAGCTTCTTCACGCTCCCGCCGCTCGACGCCGGCAGCCACCCCTCCTCGTCCAGCTCGTCGCACTCCCCCACGTCGAGCACCTCCAGCGACCCCATCTCCTCCGGCAGCCAGCGCAGCGAGGAGCCATAAGCGTCCAGCCTCTTCATGCTCCCGCCGCTCGACGCCGGCAGCCACCCTCCTCGTCCAGCTCACTGCACCTCACGTCGAGCACCTCCAGCGACCCCATCTCCTCCGGCACCCTCGCCAGCGAGGAGCAAGCAGCTTCTTCACGCGCCCGCCGCTCGACGCCGGCAGCCACCCCTCCTCCGCCAGCTGCTTGCACTCGCTCACGTCGAGCTCCTCCAGCGACCCCATCTCCTCCGGCAGCCTCGCCAGCGAGGACCGATAAGCACGCAGCTTCTTCACGCTCCCACAGCTTGACGCCGGCAGCCACCCCTCCCCCGCCAGCTGCTGGCACCCGGCCACGCTGAGCACCTCCAGCGACTCCATCCCCTCCGGCAGCCTCCGCAGACCTT